ATTTATAACGCAAATGTATAAATTTTATTATAAATTGTGTGATTTTTAAACTTGCTGCTCATGTAAATTTTACACTGTACAACGTGAGTGTATTTGCCCAACTTACAGAATATTTATAATCTTCTTTATTCCCTACTTAAGAATTTAAAGATTAATCATTCGTGTTACATTATACTGATGACTATTACTTTAAAGTAAATATATCCGTTCATAAATCTCGTCACCGTTTCTTCTTGGGAAATACTAAAAGATATAAGCGGACTATTGCATATTAGATAACAAGCTAAGCACATATGCTTTCGTAAAGTCAAACATTTGATTGATATTCATTCGTCCATTAGTTTATTGTTGAAGTATAAATATTTCTAAAATTGTCGGCCGGAAAGATACGTTTGTCTCCATTGTGCTCAATATTTCTTTCAAAAGGCCTGATGGGACTTTAACGAGTCCCGCGGTGCGTCTACAACGAATCGGTCGAACGAGCGGCGTTCCTTGGGCGGTGCTGTTCTCCATTGTGTTCCTCGAATTTGAGAAATGAAGACGAGTTACGCCCGTCCCGCGATGTCGCTTAACTGACGACGCGACGGGTTTTATCGATTGGACACTTAAGATTTCAGCGGCTGGATTAAGCTTCATCGATCCATCGCTTCTATTTTCCACCTGCCGGCCACGCTAAAATTAAGTTCTTAATAATTCCCTCCCTCCACACGGTTTTTCGCGGACGTCGAACGGTCTAACGGACGCGAGTTGTTGTCGCCACGTAGGACGGTACGTTTATCGCGGGACCGATTAATTATGGACGCAATTACGGAACGTCCGCGGGAAACGTATTCTATCAATCGAAAAATCGCGATGCGACCGAACGTGCGTGGGGATAAACGCTCGTTTATTCGTGTCAAATCGCGATATATATATATAGGGCACTTGCACACCGTGCACTGTGAAAAGGGTATGATTTACATATCGAATAATATTGCACAGAGCTCGCGAAAGAGCACTCGAACGAAATCCTGCTAATTGCACGAATACAATTGCAACGTGGAAATTATAATACCTTTGTTACGCGTCAACGAGCGCGTGGAAACGGTAAAGATATCACAAAGCGCATCTCGTTTACTCTCTTGCCACCAATTTTCTTTATGCGCACGGAGAAATCGGTTTTATTCGTGCGCCCTTATTACACGTCGCGATTCTTTTTACTCGATTATCCATAATTTATCAATGGCGCGGAAGGGAAATGGAAAGCCTCGTATCGTTTGTATGGACACAGGTGGAATTATATATAGAGATAGAATTACATACATACGGTATATGAAGGATATGTTGAACGTAAAACGGTAACGATGTTTCTGATGCGTCACGAGGTCTTTCCAAAGGCGCACCTTTAGTCCGGAATAATTTGAAGAAAATTACCGTGTTAAGTGTTTTTTTTTTTTTTTTGTTATTCGACTCACAATCGGTGTTTAATTCCCGTTTAATTCGGACCTGGAGTGACTCGAATTCGCATCCCAATGGCAATTTGCGAAATGATATACGACACTGACCTCGTATACGACTGTGGATAAAAGGCGTTAAATTTGCAGTCACGGTTCGCCGAATAATCGCGTAATCGGTTTTGATAAAAATAGTCTCCTGTTACGAGGCGACGAGGAGACGAGATACGATTATTGTCTCTCGTCAGAGGAAGATCAAGAATTAAGATATTATCTTGGTAGGTCGCTTCCTTGTATATTTTGATTCATTGGCGAACTTCATGGAGGCCAATTCGCAGAAGCTCGTATCTGAGGAACTTTATCGAGGTTCGGGGAAAGATATATGCAGCTTCATCTCTTCATACGTTGTCTCTTGCGAAATGAAGTACAATAATAAATTAGGTCCAGAATGCTATAATAGACAATAATAAATAATGACAAAAATCGTCATGCTATGAAACAATCACCACGTTTAATGGATTAAAAAAGAAAAAGTCCTTTCTCCTTAATTTTTATTCTTTAATATCTTCACAACGACATATCGATGGAACGAGCTTAACGATCGCATTTTGACGCCAAATACGAAAAGTCTAAAAAAAAAAATCGATCAACATTCTCACGTAATCAACGTTCACACGTAAACTGCATCTCTAACTTGTATTGTTCACTGAACTTCAAGTGACTTCGCGTTCTCAAACTCGTTAGAAACACATTAATAAGGATTATCACATTGGATGTTGAGAAATAAATTCCAAAGTTCTTATCAGAGAGAATGTCATTTACACTCGAGACGAATATTTCTTCTTAAGATTTAAAACTGGTGCTTACAACAGAAGATACAGAAGATATGCGATAACTTCTGATATCGATACCGAAGAAGAAGTATCTGGATATAGATTGTCGGGCGGATTCCCCGCAAACCGATAAATTCGGTTATATTGTGTAAACCCCAACACGGCCGCCTCTTCGGCGCGCCATTACGCCGATCGCCGGGACATATACGCGCGCGGTTTTGTATCAATTACAGACGCGACGAATCGCGCTTTCTGCACGATCGTGCGATCGCGTGAAAGGCGCACCGCCGCGCCGCGGCCGTACGTACGTCCGGCTATAAATAGGCATGCTAAGATAGCCACGCCTTAATCACTGTAAACGCCGGGACGGACAGCCGCGTTAACGCTCGTCTCTGATATTGTTGCGGCCGTTGCGACAGACGTCGTTTTGAAATCCGTTGCGCGTTCGTTCGTTCATTGTGTCCGCGTCTGTCACAGTGTCACATGCCGCAACGAATTATCGTGACGACGATAACGATTTAAAATGGATGACCGAAAAGAATTTTAATATACGTTGTACGTCCATTAAGAAATAAGGTCTAAATAAGGTCTAAATAAGGTTATCGTATAGTTAGAGAGTTGGTAAAAGAATGAGTCTAATTCTCCAGATAATTTTTCATCCCAAATCTTTTCTCCTCACTCACGCAATATGCCATGAAGATACCAGAGATCTTTGCTGACACAAAAGATGAACCTAAGTTTTTGTGCTGAAACTGAAAAGAAAAATTTAATCCAAGATAAACGGTCGTCTTTATGCAACGTTATCTTTGCCTTATCTCTGCAAATCTACAATGCAGATTGGGGAGATGTTTTGTTGCTCATTTTCTTAGATTATCCCATACCTCTTGTGACGTTTCACGAAGTAACGGGATTGCTTTCGAAGTTGAAGTTACTCGAGAAAAGCGTTAAACGCGTAATTTAATATTACACTGTGCAGATATGTATAAATATATCAAGTCTTAAAATTCGAAAATAAAGCCTAAAAATTATAATTTTTCATATGTACGTATATTACAGATGTCAATTAATTAACATTATATTTGGCATGATACATTTTTTAGAGTAGAGGATGTGAATTGTAATTGATATGTGAAAAAGATATACATACATATAATAAAATAAATAATATAATAGAGAAAATAATAGAAAAAAATAGTACGAATTTTTAATTGCGATATACTATATGCGATCTTAATCTCATTCAATCGACCGTCATTAATTCGCGATGGATCAAATATGGCGGAGATCAATATCGCGTTTAAGCTCTTGGTATGATGACTTCAAGATCTTATTTGTTAAATCTGTTCTTTGCAGCTATACTATATTTCTGCACTACTTCAGATAAAATGTATATGTAATTAGACATTAGGGGGAGAAAGATAGAACAGATAAAAAGTGAAAAATTCAGCTAGAATAAACAGAGTTATTACTCTATAAAACAAACGGTCTATTTTTATTTCCTTAACCCCCTCAATTTTGAGGGGATGAGTTAGGCTCTGTGCACAATAGAGCACATATTAGAAATAAGAACAAATATTAAATATTAGGACATGTAAATGTAGGAATATTCCTATATTTACATCTTATATTTTATTCTTTTCTATTGTGCGTTACGTTTAATTATTATTTCTAATTCCGATTCCTAATATTTAATAATTATTCCTATTCCTAATACGTGCTCTATTGTGCGCAGGCCCTTATTCTCGTAAGAGTCATATATTCTCGAAAGTATTACCCTGTCGATAATAAGCGCAAGTAGAAATTCTTCGAGTAGAAGTTGACAACTGACCTGAAGATGGCGGTAGTTTCAATCAAGCAAATTATGATTTATCGTGTCGATAAATAATGCTGTAATCACGAAACTATGCTAATATGTGGGTGTGCTCCGAAATGTGCCGACGGTATTGAAATCTATACGTAACGTGATGAACTATATAGATTCTCAGTATTTTGTCAGTACATTTCGCGATGTGTCTAATGTAATTGATTATTAATTAATTATTAATAGAAATATGAAATAATTATTACTAGAAATTATAGTTTTATCTTATTTTATTAATAAAATTAACCAATTTTAATTATTAATACAAGAATTTGTTTATTTATATGAAGTCAATATTCAATCTTTTGTTTATCTAAATAAATTATTTTATTATAAATCTGAATTATTTTGCAAAATATTTTAATTGCCATTATGAAAATGAAACTTTGCGTATCACCTGGCAATTGTGTCATCATATTATATTTAGCCATCTTTATTTCAAAGCTATGCAGCGACCTTGATATAAAACATGGTTTGAAGATGCGAAATAATTACATAGCGATAAATTAGTTTTGTCGCGATTAGTTTCGTGAAATACAAATGTAACTTAGCTCTCGAATGTTATGTGTTTATACTTATACTTTCGTCGTATTTTTATAATAAATGGTTTAAAAGTTATATATATATATATATATATATATATGTTCTTCCTTGATAGACTTTATTCTTTAGCGACAAGCTTTTTTGAATAAATTTCTTATCCCTCTTTCTTCGCTAATCAATCGTGTGAAGCAAAGGACACTTTCGGTAACAAATATTTTTTTTCTTGCGGTCTATCATTTTTTGTCGATTCTCTGTGAGAAAAATATAAGCTGAAGATTGTGTTCGATTCAATTGAGATTACAAATATTGGTGTCTTTTTTTCTTTTTCAGGATTAATTAAACGTGGGAAATGATCGCGATGCGAGGCGCCCTGATGGGTATCTTCCTTCGATGCAACGAAGTCGCTGCTCGATGTTCGGGGAAAATCGTAAGTCGCTACTATCAGACCGGTGGTGCGAAACCCGAATTAACATCGATCAGGTACAAAATGCGACGCGGACCCTACGCCACGATCACGAACGCGGACGTTCGCTTCTTTGAGTCGTTGCTCGGCTCCAATCGCCTCATCACGGACCCGGATGAATGTGAGAGCTACAACATCGACTTTCCAAGGACCGTCAGGGGTAAGCTCAAAAGGATAAAGAGATGCGAGGGAGAATTTTTAATTAAATTTTTATGGAAAATATATTTGGAAAAAAAGTAATTTTTTTTATCTCAAGAGAATTCTTGTTTTGATTAAAATAATAAATATTATGTCAATGTAAGTGAAATCAGAGAATTTGCGAATCTTATATCTATACTTTATTGCTAAATAAATATTTTTATATATTTTTTTAAATAATAATAAAATAAAAATTTGGAAAAAACTACAATTAAAACAACAATTTGTTCACATATTACTTTTCTCCAAAATAAGACAAATTTCCTGTAGTGTGCTATTTTTAACACACTGAAATGTCTAAAATATCTTTTTCTGAACTATGAAGTTTATATTAAAAAAAGAGAGTGCATGTGTGACCACATGCTCGTATAGTTCAAATAGAAGAAAAATGCATCGTTAATATTTTTTTGGAGTAAAAATCCGAAATTCTTTTACATTTTCAAATCACGTGGTTGTCGGTTATAATTGCAGGTGCCAGTCGGTTGGTGTTGAAACCGAAATCCACCGAGGAAGTATCAGCTTGCTTAAAATATTGCAACGAAAAGCGATTAGCAGTTTGCCCGCAAAGCGGTAACACCGGTCTCGTCTCAGGAAGCAACCCAGTATTTGATGAAATCGTCATTTCGATGAAGCTCATGAATAAAATTCTGGATACGAATGAATTGGCGGGTACGTGATAAGTGCAATTATGACATCAACTCAAAGATGTGATCTGAAGATTTTCGGAAACCCTGCCAGAAAACTGGGCGAAAACCTTCAATATTTATGTTGCGATTACAGCTGCCAAATTCTGTTACTATCTAAAGCTTCTGTTAAAGTATTTAAAATTGGAAAGATTTATTTTAATTTGTATATTTTTTAAATATATAAATTAGTCTAAAGTAGAATCTCTGAGTTAAAAGAATTAAACTGAGATATTTTACCCCTGTTTTTAATAATGTCTTTTGAAAAAATATGTTTCAGAGGATAACACATGTGAATAGTACGCAGTATGATTCCTTAAAATCTCACATGACCAAAAAGACATTATATAAGCTACATATAACTGTTCGTTTCTCTCTTGTGTTACCTTACATTATATTAAAAACACAAACACTTGGTGTTAGGTGTACTGACATGCGAGGCTGGCTGCGTTTTACAGGACCTGGAAAATCACTTGGCTACCGTCGGTCTTATGATGCCTTTGGATCTGGGTGCTAAAGGTAGCTGCTTGATTGGCGGTTGCGTGTCCACTAATGCAGGTGGAGTAAGACTTTTGCGTTACGGCAATCTTCACGGAAACGTCTTGGGAATCGAAGCCGTAAGTCTTAAATACAAATCGTTAAAATTATTATAATATTATTCTTTAATTTATATACATTATATGTAATTTATATATGACAGTGTTAAAAGGTATAAATAATTATATCTGTCAATATTTTTGTTGTCTAAATTACATGATATGCTTACAATTTATATAAACTAAAATTATTTTTATGTTCTTCTCATAATTATTTACTATTATATTGTAAATTTTTAAATTATTATTGAAAGTTGGGAAAGAACAAAATGATTAATTAATTTTCCAAAGTTAGAAAAATTAAATTTCTCTGTTTTTGAAGATTCAAATTTTTCTCCTTGCAGCTTAATATAATCGAAAATAATATTAATTATTTTTATAGGTGAAGGCAAACGGCGATGTCGTGGACGCACTGAATGTTTTAAAGAAGAATAATACCGGCTATCATTTGAAACATCTATTTATCGGGTCGGAAGGCACGTTAGGAATTGTAACCAAAGTAGCTATTCAGTGTCCACCGTTGCCAAAGGCCGTGAATGTCGCATTTCTAGGTATATTTAAAATGCAAATATAAAAATATAAAAATATGTTAGTATACACTAAATTTAATATATAAGTTAAACTACAATACACATGCACACACACATGTACAGTTGTACACCTTACTATAAAATTTTGTCGACTTAAAATGTAAAAATTTAATGTTTAAGTATTTTGTATGTTAATTATATAATTTTTTCAGGATTGGCGAGCTTTGATAAGGTGATGAAAACATATCATTTAGCGAGACGCGAACTAGGCGAAATTCTTTCTTCCTGCGAAATGATGGACCGACTATCTCTGGATGTCTCCATCAACAACCTAGGCATGAAGAATCCGTTGACGAGCCGCAAAGATGGTCACGAGTTTTATATGCTTATTGAAACCTCCGGTAGCCATCTGGCCCATGACGAAGAGAAACTATCCTCGTTTGTCGAAAAAGCGATTAGTAATGATTTCATCGAAGATGGCACTTTGACTAACGAAACAACAAAAGTGGAAAATATTTGGAGTCTTCGAGAAAGAATCAGTGAGGGTGTCTTACGTGACGGATATGTCTTCAAATACGACATCTCTCTACCTTTCTCATCATTTTATGAGGTCGTCAAGGTACTTCGCAAGCGAATATCCGATCCGCGTGTTGTTAGGATCAGCGGTTACGGTCATTTAGGTATCTCTTATGCAAATAAAGATAATTTAAATGTCTAGAAATATATATTTGACGTTCACGAATAATTTCCCTTTTTTTTGTCTTCAGGCGACGGAAACATCCACGTACAAATCTCCATACCGGAATACTACGAGGACGTGGCCGCACAATTAGAACCTTTTATCTTTGAATACGTGTCACAGTGCCAGGGTAGCATCAGTGCCGAACACGGCATCGGTTTCAAAAAGACCAAATATCTTCACCTGAGCAAAAGTTCTTCTGAGATCGAGATGATGTACGGTCTGAAGAAAATGATGGATCCGAATGGCATCCTAAATCCATATAAAGTTTTAGCAGAGAAGTCATGATTATCGTGAAAATAATCGTAAACAAAAACGGTGTGTAAATGTTCAATGTGCCATTTAAACAAAATCGATAGAAGATCAAGTAAAGTCGCGCGATTATCTAAATAATTATCATCATGGGATGCTTAAGAAAATGCTTAAGAAAATATAGTATTTGTATTGTGTGCTATTAATACAATAGTACTTGGCGTTACATGTGCGCTGACTTCACATACGAGGTTCTGCATACTTTTTTTTTGGCTGTTTTCCATCTGCCAATAAAAGCAGATAAAACGAATCGGTGACTAATACATCTCGAAATAGATGAGTAGCATATAATAGGTAGCATAGTAGGTAACAGCTAGAAGAAATATCAAAACAATATGTTCTCGCAAAAGTAGAATGTTTTAGATACTTATATCTATCATTATCTAATTTTGAAATATAGCGATGTGATATAAATGTGTACCTGATATGTGTGATAAGAAGAGAATGTAACTATATGAAGCGGGTAATAGTTAACAGGAATCTCTGAATATCAAAGAAATGCAAAGGTATTTCTTCTGTTGCATACATGCACGCTTGCCTGTATTTAATCCAGCCATGAAACATTTATACTATAGAATTTTATCTAGAAAAAAAAATCATGAATGAAATAAACTTTCAATAACGATTTTATTTTTAGAATTAGTATATTTTTTATTCTTTTTCTCTTTTCTCTGAGAATTTAAGATAAATATGACTGTTTTTTCGCGATAACAGGATTTAATTTAATACCTAAATTTGACATGAGTGTCTGAAATATAAATTTTCAAACGAACCTAATAAATGATTAAGTATAACAATATTTGTTATAGTTTAGACACTTATTCGCTCAGTTTTTTTTTAATGTTTTGTGTATTTAACCCTTTTAATAAAAATTATTCGTATTTTTGATAATATTCTATTTTCTGATAAGTTTTTAAATACATACATCAAAATATGTATGTTCTAGAAGCCATTTGTATAGGTAATGCTAAAAGGAATTAACGTATATTTATAGATATAAAAATATAAAAAATATAAGTATATATAGTAATATTTTTTTATTTTATAATATAACATTATTGTATAGTACAATATAAAATTATAATATAATTATATTATATCATATATTATATTATACTATATTTTAATAACATAATGTGTTATTTCATAATTCAAAATATGTAGCTGCGGTTACAGTGAAAACGAGACCACAAATGCCATCAGTTCTTATCGAAATTCTTATCGAATCTCGGTGTTTTTATTACGCGTAACCGACGAACGTGCGCGGTTTTCGTTCGTAAGAATAAATTTTATTCTACGTTCTCACGGACAATTCCGATTCCGCAAGCGCTCCTTCCGGATCTTTCGAGAAATATAGATAAGCGGGAGAACGGGTCCTACACATCTCGCTGGAAGCGACGAGAAGTCGCGCGAGATACCCTACAATCGTGCGCATGCGCACGCCGCGCTATCGAACGGTCTCGAAAAGAGCGGTAAACCGAATATAAACCGGCGCAGTGGCAACGGTTGCGCAGTTAATCGCTAAGCGGAATTCGCGCCTGAAGGAAGCGAGCCTCGCGGCGGATTTCTTATTGCGCAGTACGACGAGTTATTTCACGAAGCGTGGTAATTCAACGACGTGCCCGACGTCGGGTTCTTGACAAACGAAACGAGCGCTTTATTTTCGAAGGCAGCAAGGTACGTATCGCAATTGTCCTCTCCGAATTCACGCGTCACGTACGGATTATTGTTCGATTGTTCAACAATTAACGTTGATTAATTGAATTATCGTGCGTCTTTTGCTACGTTCACGTTTAAAATTGTTATTAATAATGACAAGTTTTTATGTAGAAAATTAATTAAGCCATGATTAAGAAAGATTTATAAAACATTTTTTCCTTAGAGACCTTTGAGCATATATTACGTTTGTTGTCTCGATAATTCTTATACAAGAGAGGTTAAATCGCCATTATTTTATTCGTTTATTAAACATAACAAGCAGGAGAATCTCTTATTTAAAATTCCAGCGTGATTTACGCAGCCAATATTTTTTTATAAGATCGAGATATGTCAATTTTAAATAACTTTTAAATTTTGAATACAAAAGATATCATTGAACGTCGGTGTAACTGTCTTGTGAAGTTGTACGATAATCTGTGATTTTTGTTCAAATGTGAAACTGCTCCGAATGAGAGGAGCCTCTTGTTTTCGTTCGCGAATGAAGATGTTCCAAAGACAGGTGATTTTGCACACTGTCAATACTGTGTTCGAAGGACGGGGCAATACACATAAATATTTCCATGCTGTGTCTCTCAGAATATATGAAAATATCGTCGCGAACGATAAATCGTACAGTTAAAAAATCAAGCAATAGCAAAAAGCAGCAAGGCAAAAATTGCTCAGTATTCTAGATTTTAAACTCATCAAAATTTCTTTTAAAAATAAGTACTGTAGATAAAGCGCCTATTTAAATAAGTATTTTAAATAAGTGCTAAATGCACTTTTCCAGCAATTTCAGCTTGCACGCTTATCAGACACGTTATAATTATTCATAAGATACAAATATATATATTTGTATTTCTATTATTAAATCTATATCTATTATCTATTATATTACGTTTAGATTTTGTTTGCATTCACTTAATTGCCAATACGTTTTATCTTTCATTTAGAATCTTTCCAAACAATTCTATGATAAAAATGATAATCTGTTAGGCGTCAGAAGTAAATCAGGTAAATATATAAGATCTGTGCCTATTTGCCCGCAGAAAATCATGGCATTGATATCGAGAAACCTATACCGCAACTGGTGGGATGACATAGACCGCTACCACCGCGAGATAGAGGACCACTTCCGGAAGCTGAGTGTGCGCGACGATGATCTGTGGCTATCGTCGGTCCGCGACAGGTTCCGGCCGTGGCGCAGCGTGGAGAACCTGGAACGCGAGATAGGCGGCTGGGCGACGGTCGAACGCGACGATAACAAGTACCAGGTAATCGTGGACGTGCAGCAGTTCGCGCCGGAGGAGATCACCGTGCGCACCGACGACCAGTGCATCACCGTCGAGGCCAAGCACCATCAGAGGAAAGACAGACACGGCTACGTGTCGCGACAGTTCATACGCCGTTATCTGCTGCCCAAGGGCTACGACATCGGCCACGTGAAGCCCAGTTTGTCGTCCGATGGTATCCTGACCATCACGGCGCCCAGACTGGCATTACCGGCGCCAGGCGAACGAATCGTGCCAATTCGACGAAGCTTTTTGCCGGCCATCAAGGCCAAGTAACGCGCTGAAATGTTTCCGGATAACGCGAAAGTAGTCCGGCGTCCGAGGGATTAATCCCAAAGACGTCGAAGGATTCCGAATCATTTTATTTTTACAGCCGCGATCATTCTTAAAGCCAATAGTTTGCAGAGTTACGTGCCTGTAATAACAATCGGTATCGCGACCTAGAAAGAGATGGAGAGTTAAACACTGGCAGAGAAGAAAGTTAGTCGGTGTTTACAGTCTCTTGAATGTTTAGACGACCTTCAGATATCTCTCTGCAATAACTGACTCGCGTTATTCGGCTTCCTCGCAAATGTCTATTATGTATGTACAACCGGTCAGTACGATGTATCGATTTTGTAAACATTTGTTGATATATATATACGTATACACATGTATCTATATCTATATATAAATGTGTATTAATGCATATACATATATGTATAATAATATATAATTTTATATGTATATATGCATGAATGTCTGTATGTATCAGCATTGCACTCCTGTATATCAGAAACGAGTCACGATTATTATTTGAACCGTAGCTTAAGATTGATAAAAAAAAAAGACTGCAGAATTAAATTTACATACTATTACGTTTAAAATAAAGATCCACTTCCAATTGCGTACAAGAGCGGAAATTAATAGACATCCATCGATTCCATAATTACGGCCGTGACTCATCTTTCGCGCGTTTGAACTTCGATATTTAACGTAATTAGCTAATTGTAGAAAATTGTACAAAAACATACATACATATGTATAGTCGCGTTGTGTTGATTATTTTCTCATAGCTTTAAAAAAACACGAACGTTAATAATAATAGCTACTGTCAGGAAGCTTTACGACGCTGTTAGACATTACATCATTCGTCTCGGCGATTGCTTTCGAACGGTTCATGCCGCCGTAACTCGCTATTAAAATGTAACAACTGCGTACGTTCTGTAGAGCTTGGCTTTATTATGTAATCGTTCACTTAATTTATTCGTGTTATCGTTAGCTCGACAATTCGATTTAGAACCCGTACTTATAGATTGTTTACGTAACAATTCTTTTTTGGCAAGGAATGCGTGTTGCATAAAATATGTATGAATGATATAGATAAATCACGCGGTATTAATTATTCGTCACTATAGCCAGGAAGTAAGTTAGAATTATAGGCGAGATATTATGTAATGTATTTCGTATTCGTATTTCGAGTTAGACGATTGCAATTGTGTTCAAGTGACGACTAAACACATATATATATTCCAGATTCAGTGTTAATACAGTGATTTTACTCTCGCGATACCTTTCGCACAGTCATTTGTAATTTTATTCGCTTTCTATTACAATTAATGTAATATTTTGCTAATATTTCCTTCAATAAAGGTTTAATATTAATTTAATTTTGTATTCTATTATTATCATCGAACAATATTACCTCTAAATAACTACATGTAATTCTTACAAATTTGCAATTATATCGTAATTGTAATATGTTTCTAATAATACTAGTAATGCTCTTTTTTAAATAAAAATGATTTAATCTTGATACCTTTTTTAAACAATCGTCTTTAAATATGTAATTTTATACGATTTTAACAAAATTGCAATTATATTATTTAACTTGTGTACTATTATTAGTTGCAAATTTGGCAAATATTTCTTTTCGAACGAAGTTCGTGGTTTAATTTTGAAGGCCAATGCTCTATTTTTAAAAACGCATTTTTGCTGTTAAGTATTTATATCTTAATGACATGCTTGTGGCACATGAAAAAGGGCTAAGCCGCAATAAATATTTCAACTTAGGCAAATCATTACTAAATTATCCATCGGACGCAAAATTGCGCATGTTTGCCAAATACGTCACGAAGACGTGCATACATTTCCCGTCTTTGCTGCAAAGCCTGCTTTTGGACGATTCGTAATTCATGACGGAATTAAATTCATAATTTATAAATAGAATTTCGTCGCGTGATATAGAACAATTAAACAACTAATCAGAATGTACATGTATGGACATGTTAAAATGCACGCATACATGATGTATGATGTACGTGTTTATATTACGAATGAGATTTTATTCCGAATTATTGACCGTCTAAAATAAAATTAAACGTTTGAACGTTCGACCGCTCGCGGGCGTCTTTCTTACGATGGCCCTCGTTCTTCCTCGCTCTCGGAGAACGGCACTTGATCGTCTAGGCTCTGCGGTGGCAGTGTCGGTTCCTCTAAAATCGTTTCCTCTGCGGGCACTAAACTCTGCATCCATCTAGCTTGTTCCTCGATCTCCGGAATTTTCTCATCGATCAATTTCTCCGTGTCTACCTTGTCTAACTCCTCTTGTATGCGTCTCTTTAACGGCCCCTCGATAGCATCCATAATCTGATATCTAAAGTAAGTATAATAGAAAGTGGAGTTAGAAGCTTAAATAAGGAATTTTAAGACAGCAAAAAAAATAAAATAAAATTTAATTATCATGCAGAATCATCTTTTTCAGTCTAAATATTATAATATTTGAATGTAGAGAATGTAACAGAAAAATCCAAGATTATAATCTTTTAGATCCCAGATCATATCCCAATTATTGTAACGTATGACTTTAGAAGGATTTTGTAAAAACTAAAAAAAGGCAAAACTGTTTTAAGATTTAATCAAACATTCCGAGACGTACGTAGAATTTATAAAAAAAGGTTTGTTGTGAAGATTGTTTCGAAGATTGTCAAGGTTTCGTCGCATTATAGACACACTTCCTAATGCTCATTGTAATTCGATCGGTGTCGGAAAATCGCCAATTACGGGCGTCACCTTGAGATCGGCGCGAGACGCATATTTTACAAGGCTGCATCTATTATGGTTTACCTTAAAACGTTCGGCAGTATATTAATGCTCGCTTCCATGAGATAATCGAGCGTGCCGGCACCGTGGATCCTCGCCTGGACGTTGCCCAACTCGAGCTCCAGCTCCTCCAGGGCGGCGCGCTTCCGCGTGTCCAGCGGCTGGCCCAGCTTCACCTGGACCCGGAAGTATTGCACGGTGAAGGACACGGTGCCGGCGCGCGATAGGAAGCCGCCGATCACGCTCACTTCCCAGTGAGTCTTGCCCTCCAATTCCTGGGTACCAACGTCCAGGAGCGCGTATACCTGTATAAGGCGTCGTAACGCATAAGTACAAAGTCCACGATAAACATACGTCGCCTACGCGCGTGCAAAGCCCCAAAACCGCGCGTTGCAAGCGATTTGCAAGCGCGCGATATCTTGCGTAATGTTTACGCAACGACGATTGCGATTACGGCCGATCCCGCAGCTGCTTTGTGTTTAGCAATTTCGTCGTATAGACGAAATATATTTATTTAAATTAAATTACAACTCGTTCGTTTAAAGTTTAAACGTTACATCTTCTTCTAAATATATACAGCAGCCTCGTCTATACCTGATTTCAGCAATATTTTTACTGTTGGCATCTTTTACACGCGTAGTTAAATATTATAGATCTCTTAAAAAAGCTCGTTCTTACAGTTCCGTTCTCCATGGTGATAGTTATGTTGCCCATGCGATAGAAACTGGCTAGACCGGTGATCCACGTATGCGACGAGGTCACGGTGAATATACCGACGCTCTGGGTGTAATCCTTTAGCTTGTACGGATCATAGCCCATCTGAGAAACATACTTGCGGGCTTCTGCGATTGCCATATCGAAGGGCGAAATCGAATTCGGGAAGTATTGCGGTAATTGTGATATCTGCTTATTTACCTCGCCCCTATAAATATATCATCGATATATCAATATATCGTCGAAAAAATAAACAAGAAATTATTTTAAATTCTTCCTTTTTCAAAAAAATAAAAAAAATTATTTATTATTATTAAAACGCATAGAACTTTATAAAAACAGATATGTAAGATTTAAATTAATAGATTCATAAATATCAAAATTTAAAGAAATAACAATGTCATAAAAAATGAAAATTAAAACCGGCGTCAATATTGGATTACTGTCCTTTTGAAAAATCGATTATTATTCTTTGACTAACATCATTTATGTAATACTTCCATCGCTACTTTCCTTGCTCTCTATTTTTCTTATCTTTTTTTTATTTATATTTTTAGATATCGTAATCGTACCTTACGTTTGTATTAACTTCCTTCAATATGAATGGTTTGATGCTGTCGAAGATAAAGGTGCCGATGGAGTTAATGACACCTTGAAAAACTGATCCGAGAAATCCTAGATTCTTGAAGTCCATGTCAATTTTGTCGAAAGTCAGATCCATGTCGATGTCCTGAGCTTGCAATTTGCCATCGGTGCCTACTTCCAGCCTGGCGATACCCTCGACCATGACACCGGTGAGTTTCACTATAAAATCGCCGGCGGATCTCGAGAGCCATGACGCCAGTGTGTATAATCCACGAATATCAAGACTGTCAATCCTTAATGCGACAGATACCTTAAAAATACATTTGTTCTTACATTTCTAGCGAAAACAGTAAAATTGGATATATAAACATCGCAAGTGCATATAACTAAATAAATATAATAATAATACTATAAACTATGTGATATAATAAAAAAATTTGTAAAGCTAAATAAAAAATAAAAATTTGATAACTTTAAAAAGAAGACATATAAAAAATAAGAAAAAAATACTGAGATATTTACAAGATATTCTATACACAGAATTATGTGTAAATCATATTTTAAAAGTCCTTGCAAATTAATAATTTAAATATTTTCCTATATAATTAATAAAAAAAGATTTTGTTAAATTAGTCGGAAAAGTATATGGTATACTTTCCACACATTCGTTATTACAGTGTCTCACAATCAGTATTGTATTGATTATCATATTTCTACTGCGTCCGCTTGAAATATAATCATCTCATTTTCTACGTAAACATTTTCTACAAACGTGGATTCATATAAAAATTCAAACATTTAAAATTTCGCTTACTAAAAACGTTTTACGCGTGTGAATTATAAATTAATAAATTTTTATTAAATGTTATATTAATTAAAATTTAACGGTGGAGTTTCTACTTATATCTTTGCATTGTTGTTTTAACAAAAAAATCAATTGATTAATAAAATCTATGATGTTGTAAACTTCTAAAGTTATCGGTATAAAACTAATTTCTCGCATTGACAATAAATTTATAAACTAACGTTACTTTTAAACCATTCATGGCTATATTAATAATTAATTATATTATTATATTATTATAAACTAATAATAATACTATAACTATTAACAATTGTAACACCAAACTACATATTTTCTCCATGCGATATTGTATAATGTATATGTGGTGTATACATTTTAATCGCAGAATCTAATCAAGAGCATTAAAAAAGAAATATTAGCGCATTAATTTGAGTTTCGCTTCTTCTCGAATATCTTCTTGCTTCGTTTTTCACTTTTGTAAACCTTTCCGCTTGACAATCTGTTTTAATTTACCTGCATACGTGCCAATTCCGATTCCACATGTTCGATACGAAACTTGGACAGCCCGTAAACGCTAATCTGCTTGAAATTCATCGTGTACATGGAAAAGGAATGCTTCATATCCGGCACTGGCATCGGATCCGGTATCGGCGCGCCCGGAAGCCCGACGGGATCGTCTTGCTGATAATGCTTGAGGATAGCGCGAATCTGATCCCCGAGCCGCTGCTCGCCCGCTGCCATCTGAGCTGCTTTGCTCTTGTCTAGAATAAATCAGATTTTTTGCTCAATCACCGAGTCAAATCGTGCCGCATAAATGATAAATAAATATGGAAAAATAGTATTATAAAGCCAATTTCACGAGAGGCAAATTTTTTAAATTACGAAATTATCATTGGTGCGGAGAATTAATGATTGAGATTTTATACGAAAATTAATTATTGAGACTTGCAAATGAGATAACTCTATCCCGCCACGATCTGTTATGGCTGCCCCTTGAACTGTACGTTATATTGCGTAAGAAACAGGAATTATTTATATCATGAGACATAACGTAGTAAATAGTGCATCGTAGTTATTATGAAACGACTAACGTCAATCATTTTTTAATCCTGTACAGTAAAAATTAATATTTTCCAGTTGAATTTTTTTTCAATCAGTTTATCTTTAAATTGCAATCAAGAAGCAATTAGGCAAATTATAATTTCTCCTCTACATAATTTTCAATTCGAGATATTAGGCGACGTTAAAACAATAGCCAGAAAATCCAAAATCAGCGACAAATAATTAGAAAAATTATAGTCATTTATCTACGTAGTATACAATTTTATTGAATGAAGTATTTAAATTTAATAAGTGATAATTTATCAAGAGCCCGATAGAGAATAATTGGGAAAATTATAGTCTCCTGCGCCCACACGATATCCAATTTGATTACATAATAAATAATTTACATATTTAAATAATTATGAGAAATATATAGAGCTAGGAGGAAATAAGGATCAATTGGGAAAGGCGTGATTCTTGTGTCACGTAATGTTCGACGCAATTGCGCTTCAAATAATTTTAGAAAGTATTTCCAGGCGTTGCTGGTAACCAATTTGATAGAATCACATCTGTCGACGAATGTCATACCTATCGACGACGCGGCGTTGCTCGTTGGCTCGTCGCCCGCACACGGGGAACACAGGAAGCAGAAGACCACCAAGAAAACCGTCGCGTACACTCGCATTTCCAATCGCTTCTCACACCGCATCTTTTATCTTTTAGAACTTTACTCGAGAATACACCAATGTGTCACTTAATACCTGGCCCTACGACCCTACGCCGATTGATATATCAATTATCAATTAATTCCACGGTTTATCTTAAGATAAGTTCGCGACACGTTTTGTAGCTCCACTGGCACCGACAGTTCCTATCTCTGCCTGCCAAGGGTGGATGAAGATAAGCGGTGTGGCCCGTAACCGACTGGCGAGGCGTGTGTGCACGCGTTTGACTGACCGAAGAGGCACGTCAGTAAATTTAGTGGAACGATATCGCCGACAGGTCATTGAGAGAGCGAGGGTCAATCGCTTTATCTCCATCCGTGCCTCTCCCCTCGCCTTCTTCTTGCGTGGTTTCCTCTTTATCCATCTCTTTCTCCCTTTGCTATACAACCATCCAATTCTGATCTCTCGCTTCAACGATATCAGCGTATGTTGCGCAGGTCGCATTGTGGTGTGGTCGGTCATGTGGAAGCGATCCCCATGATGGATTTTCCATCCTGAACGCGGTATAGGCGTGTACTGCTCGCCCAGATATAAGCGTCTCAATCAAGTTATACCTGAAGATCCCAAAAGGTCAAAATCCATCATTATAGCAACGGACAGTGGATGATTGTAGCAGAAATCGAATTTAAGCTCTGCAAACAAACCTGCTTTAGAAAAACCATCCTCTCTTGGGAACGTATAGTGCCGGATTATTTAAACACGTTTTCTGACCATCGATCGGGGAACCCATTCCGAAAAGTTCCATAGTTCACGTGTCCTGAAGCAGTAATATATATAATCAAAATTTTCCTCTGTATAACAAATACCAATTAAGTGTCTAAAATATTATAATTAAAATAGATTATATACATTATTAGTGATTTTCGTTTCTTTTTTTTTTTCTAATAATCCGAGATTTCTTGCGCGATCAATTTGTAACTTAATGCAATACCTTGTTTATTATACAAATCCGATATCATTTCTTCAATGATGCAATAAAAAAAATATACATTTTTTGTTAATTAATATAATCAATATTATTACAAATATGGGAATTATAGAAATTATAACCAACATTCTAGAAATTAATGCGTCCATTGTGTGAGAGAAATGTGAAACTATAAAAATATTAAAAATTAATCAATTCATTGAGAAGAATTCAAAATGTATTTTTAATATTTTGTCATTTTAGTTAATTTTATATTTATTTTATCTAGTCACTTAAAAAGCAATATGAGCCCTGAAGAACTTACGTTGCTTTCAAGCTGATCGAATGAATTGCGAAATAATTGTCTTTCGCATCCGGTTCGCCTTCCAACCTTAATAGCATCGTTCCGGACATTAAATGAATTTCCGTTGCATCGTCGTAGTAGTCAACAAGATGCTACTCTAATCCACAAGTAACTCGCAATAGTATCTGTTAGCTGTAATTAGTTTAGATAATTATAATATGAAAACATATGATCACACCTTAAAAAAAATAGGGATTAAATTTAAAATTGAAATTCTTAAATCGCGCTCTTTTATAGAATGCGGTGTACACAAATTGCGCGATTGTGAATAGAATTGATTTGTATCTCGCGTCATTAAGTTATATACTCAATTACTGTAAGTATGTAAAACTTGTGTGTTACATAGCAGATGCAAAAGTATATCTTTTAGCTTGCTGTTGCATATAGATATTAATAAATTGATATCGCATCGATAATCGCCGTACGGTTACATTAGCAAAGTATTGATATTTGTTACAAAAAATTTAATAACAAGAACCCGTAAAAAGTCTATTTGAATAATTAGAATAATTATTAGAGCTGTTTATTCGTTAAATTTGATTTTTGACCTAGCCAGATTCCGATTGAAATCGACTCCTGTCCTCGAAGGTACTCTAGTTTGATTGTGAGAAGATTTCAAACAGATATAGCATTTATAAAGAGGAATATAAAATATGGAATATAGAAAAAGAAGAAAAGGACAACATTTGCATTCGATTGAAATAAGTTGTAGGATCCGGGAAATTGGAAATTCATAAAAGTAAAAAAGAAGAAAGGAGAAGACAATATCTGTATTCCATTGAAATAAATTGTGATTCAGATAGTCAAAAGTTTATAAGTAAAAAGAAGGAGAAAAAGAAAAACTCATTAGATCGCTTATTTAAGTGCAAATTAAATGTGCCGTTAATATCGATTATAATGTCGATTTTAAACGATAGCTGGGTTCAGTTCGCCATTTATCGGCTCGCAGTTATTGAAATATTATTCGTCAGCTATATTCGTTGAAATATTATTGTAAGATATACGTATAAAGCACTACGAATGAGCTTGGTTCGCTAGCCCCTTTCATTGAAAAAAAAAAAAAAAAAAAGGAAAGAATTTCCCGAATGCCTACGGTACGGCATGCACAGTCTAGTCAAACAGTTGCCGAATTAAATCCCGAAAGCACGGAAACAATAAGAATGTAATATATGTATGTACACACACAGTGCAGGTAAAAATGTTTTAGGCCCGGTTTAGGCTCATAGCGTAGTGAATAGATCTGCACCTGAACGAAGCTTCCACCACTACGAGTCTTGCTGGGCTTCTCGTCCGGCAGTTGGCCGCTTATAGTCAGCTGTTAGAAAAGAGGGGAAAACTCAGTGTGCAGTGCAATTCTAATAGTTCCACCTCACCATACATCAAAACAGAACAGTTCAACGGTGTCTTTACTCTTCGTTATACAAATTCGTCGTATATGACACGTGAAATATTTGTTTTTTTGTAATATATTTCACGTAAGTTGTTTTCTCTAGAAGCTATAATACACGTTGGACATTTGTCGCATATTACGTTATATTAATGCGTAAGAATGCGTTTAATTGAACTGGTTTTAATTAGTAAAAGGCGGGAAATTTAAATCGGCTTATTGTAAAAATAAATTTACACGCGGAGTCGAAATCTTGATGACCATCTTGACCATAAATGCCGCGGACGTGTAGCATTCCCTCGGTGTTTCCTTCGTTCGCGCTCGTATAGCACACTCCACATCTTTCCGAAACGGATGAACTGAATGCTGGGAAAAAATATCCTCACGGCCACGGCGACGTATCGCCCCGCGGAGGCCGCGGATGCGCGTTCGTAATTATACGTGACACACACACAGCGGTTGTGTTTATTTATAGACGCGAGTCTATCAGGTCCTGGCTTCTGGCAGCGCGCGTGTGCACGCGTGTGCACGCGTGTGTGCGCGTTTTATAACTGTGTACACGTTGTACGCCAGCCGCTGTAAAGTATGGCACCGCACAACTACACTACCACATTTGTGCACGGCGATCGCGCGACGAACTTTTTCGTGACAGGCGCGAGAGGGTTTCGCTGGAACATGTGACGAGCTGACGGGAGCTCGTCCGGTCCGGTGTTGGTTGCGACGCAGCGGACTTCCTTAAAAATAGGAGCTACAGCTGTGCTGCTGGTGCTCGTCGAGAGTCGAGAGACATATAGACACCATCTCCACGAGGGACCGTTGGACGCAGTTGGACAGTCGCGCGGGCAAACAGGTTCGAAGGCTGCGTGTTGATCTCGGGTGAAGGAACGATGCATGGAGATGCTACCTGGGAATTAGCCTCCCGACGTTTCTCCACTGCTCGCGGTTGATCAACACCAGGAGTTATGTCGAAGCCCGATGCACCGAAATTCGTCACGGCGCTTTTCTCCTTCAAGGGAAAGAACAACGACGAGGTAACGTGGCACTCCTTCCCCCTTTCTCTTTTCCCGTAGATTATTTCAAATATCGCACTCCTGGAGTGAATATTGTCATAGTTTCTAAAAAAGCGTTCAGATGTGTCTTGTATGCACTGTGGCACTATGCCGTGCTTTTGTTTTTCTAGTTGTGCTTCAAGAAAGGAGATGTAATAACGATAACTCAGGTGGACGACGAAGGCTGGTGGGAGGGCACGTTGCACGATAAGACTGGTTGGTTCCCTTCGAATTATGTCAAAGAATACAGAGTTCCAGGTACGATAACTTTTGAATACGTTTAAATTCGAATAAGTACCTTAAATGGTATGCAATTTCATTTGTTTACGATCTTTTCTTTTAATACATATTTTAATATGTTCATATCATGTGTGTTCTAATGCTGAAAATATAATTGTATGTCTTTCATATATTGTATATATTCTAATACATACAGATGGTGGTCATGCGTCGATTAAGACGTCTCCAGAAAGGAGTCCACAGGAGTCACCTGCGCATCAAAAACTCAATCGCGATATAGTGTTAAAGGATATCGTCGATTCTGAAAGGGTAAATGTAGCTGAACTGCAAGGACTAGTGAATAATTTTTTACAGCCTCTCGAAACATCGAATATGTAAGTCATGTCGCTTAATGGATACAAGAAAAAAAAATATGTTATGTATATCTTGTATAACAGAAATTTTCAATTATATGTAGATTGAAGAAGGAGGAGTATAAGCAGCTACTCGGTAATGTACACGAGGTCCTCGAGACTCACCAATGTTTATTGGCAAACTTGGAAGGAACCGTTTTGCAAGGACTCTCTGCAAGAGTAGGGAATCTTTTCCTGACTATCGCACCAAGGCTAAAGTCTATTCACGCTACATATTGCAATAATCATCCGCAAGCCGTTTGCATATTAGATAGGTATAGGTAGGTGTCTAGAAAATGTATCTTTTTGTTTTTCGATGGAACGCTATATCATGAATTGAGTCTTGGCCTTTATTATGGAATTTGAAGGTTTCTGCCCTTCAAGGAGATAATGCAGTGTTACGATTTGTTTCTGGCTACTTTGAGATTAAGTTCATGTATTGTCGCATGTATCAATCATGTATTATTATTTTAGAGATGAATTAAATGAATTTATGGAGCGCAGTGGAGCGATATCGCCTGGTATATTGGTATTAACCACTGGCCTCAGCAAGCCGTTCCGAAGATTGGACAAGTATTCTGCTATGCTTCAGGAATTAGAAAGATACACCGAAAAAAATCATCCCGACAGAGGGGATACTCAACGTAGCATAACAGTATACAGAGAAATCGCGGTACGATAACTCATCTATATCTTTTATATGTACAAAAAAATTATTATCAATGTTTACAATTTACACTTGCTTATCGCAGTCCATTTTATTTGTAGGATCATTGCGCTTCCATACGTAAGCAACGTGAATTAGCACTTCAAATATTAACTAGTGGAATCAAAGGTTGGGAAGGTGAAGAATTAAATTCATTAGGCGAGATTATTCACGTTGGATCAGTAACCCTAGCAACTGGCGTAGATCGTAGAGATAGATACTTTGTTTTATTTCCTACCACACTGCTGGTGCTTAGTACCAGTGCCAGGATGAGTTCCTTCATTTACGAGGTAGACTTGAAAACATCTCTGTCACGCTGCTTTAAAATCACAATTGAAATATATCAAGATGTTTAATTCACGCTGCGATTATTTGCATAGGGAAAACTTCCGTTAACTGGCATTAATGTAACTGGAATGGAAGACACGGATGAAATAAGAAATGCTCTGGAGATCACTGGTATGGCTATCGATATTTTATTCAAATATCCTGATACTATCTTGCAAAACAAATAAAGAATGCTATTTTGTGACTTTGCAACAATTGCTTCTTAAGATAATGATGTAAATAATAAAATGCGTATGCTTTACGTATGTTTTAAGGACCAATGATCGAAAGCATCGTTGTGCTGTGTGCTACAAGGGAAGAGAGACAGCGTTGGATCGATCTCTTAATTCAAGAACAGTGCACCAGCCTCCTGAAATCGCCAACTATCCCTCGTGTGAGTTGCCATCATCCTCCGTACGCTCGACTCTCGAGATACTTTGCGAAGCTCGTGAGGAGAAAAGTCATATATCCTGAATTAATGAAGAAATTATTATATATTCAATATGTCCTGAGGCCAGATTTGAGTAACGTGAAAATGAGAAAGTGCAATGTGACCTATACTATTTTTCCCACTAGTGCTAGCGAAGGATCAGAGTCGGATACACTCATTGAAAGTAATGTGCAAGAGGAGCCGCGAATATTGCGTAAATCCTCGTTAATACTGGACGTTAGATATGTAACGGACAATACTGATCTTAGTACCGTCGGAATCGCGAGCACTTCCTCACTCACGAATTTCGCGCCGAGAGTTAATTGCGAGAATCGATGTACTTTTGAGACTAGTAAGAGTTTACCTGCTGGTGCTACAATGAGTCACGTCCTGCCAAACGTTCCGCTCGCGTCAAGCAAATCGTATACGTCAAATCTTCAAGCACGTAATAAATTTTGTCGGGAGCATTTGGAAATTTCACATGGCAGAGATCACAGCGATCGGACTGCGAATTATAAATATTTAAAAGCGATCGAGGAGTTTTATCCGAAGAACTCGGACATCCCGGTTCGATATTCCGTGACTTCCGCCCAGAACGATAACTGCGATAGCGTTGGGAGGGAATTTCGAGAAATGTGCGCAAATAGTAGTTTACGGTCTTCGGACTCGGGAATGGCCGAGAGTTATCACTTACGTTCATCTGAAGTCAATTCCTGTTACAAGTCATATGCATCTAGTCATACTAAATATACAGATCCTGTAAGAACATCTCATAGCGAAAGCGATAATGATGAGAATAAGTTTGAGCATCAGTGTATTTGCACCTCGCCATTCGGCTCTACGCCTCGAGATAGCGCTCACTCGCTGGCTTCGTCCAAAAATATTGACGAATGTACAAGCCTTGCGAGATCTAACGATGTCGGTGATAGCAATGCTAACGATGATCCCGATAATAGCGAGAAGAAAGTTCATGAAACTGTATTGATTCAACCTCTGATAAATTATGGAAATGTACAAGGAAAAAGGTACACGCAACCGATACCATACGCGCATCAGTGCGTAATTAAGAAAATCGGGAGACGCGTGGTTCGTCCAATCCAGCCGATTATGGAGGAATATGACGAGCCAACAAATCAAGTGTATTCATCTGGATTATATGCTCATTGGTGGCTCAAGAAATCTATCCCGATATTTGGATGCACGGAACAAGGCAAGCTTCCATGGCATGGCTGTTTCTTTGATCATTTCAGTTTTTTAACCATGCTGGTGTTTTTACTAATTATCATTTTCTCTACCAAAAAAAAATCGTATGCTCTTATTTCACAGCCATGTTGTGTGAAGTAAGCTGTCGCTTTACTAACACAATACATTATAGAATAGTCTCGAAAAACATAACGAATTTCTGTGCGTATGCCTTTATTTTATCACGTCGCAACCATCATTTACCTCGCAAAAGATTCTAGTTAGCTTGATTTTGAGTAGACGCAGCTTTAGTCTTCAGGTAGGGCGTGCACTCCAAAGTAATATAATTATAATCATAGTACTTCTCTTTTTTTATAGTGTATTTTTAGATTAAGAAATGTTTTGATATTAAAAATAGAACCCTGCAAAACAATAGCAAAAAAATATACATGTACATATATATGCATATTTTATAAAATAAATTCCAACCAGAGAAACTTTTAGTTCATGCATTGCATGTATGCAATAGAAACGACTCTAATTATGTATTGTTGAAATATTACAAATATAATGCTATGTATTGCAGATGAGCAATCAGCCGAACGGAAAGCACCAACGACCGGCAATGGAGCATTGTACATCTCCAGGGATTAAGACACCTTGGAGTATTGCATCATTAAGACCTGCACCTCCCCTATATTCTCTTAAGAATTTTGGAAAAATAGATACTACTACAGATACATCACGCTCACCACGATCATGCAGTAAGTATTTTAATACTAAATATGAAAACATTTGACATGTAATGTACAACCAAGTTGTCAATCTGTTTTCTATAGCACGTTTTATATTACAGACGAGCGACAGTTTGAAGACGATGCGATCATACTGAAAGTAATAGAAGGTTATTGTCTTTCTGTCAATGCTAGATTTACTGTACATTCTGGAGAGTCTAATTGTAAGTTTTTTAATTGGTCTAATATATGTATAACTGTGTTGAAACTTTTCCGCGTGTCTTTATATCATGAAGAAATTGTTATTTTTCTAGCAATGCTAGATTATGAGCCGCAAAAATCACGGGACAGGATATCATTGACGCATAACAGGGGCAACTGGGAATCTTGTAATGACAGGTGAATATAAAAAAAAAATTTTGAAAAAATATACCTTTCTACCTTCTTACAACAAATATGTTTAAATTTGATAATTTCTATAAAAATGAAAAATTGCTCGCATTAATTTGTATCAGAAATATATATTATGTTGCTGGTTAAATTGATTGAGAAACAGAGAAGAAATCATTTTTTCTTTTCCTAATTCTTTTTAAATATTATGCTACATAAGATTGGATAATATATTCATATTTGCACTGGAAATTGATAATAATGTATAACATAATTGTACTATATATTAATACTTATTAACGTGTACTTTTTATATACATAGAACATTATCGGAAACTGTTAAAACCTTGAAGAATCAAATGACTGACTTACAATCGCAAATGTCGCTACTAACAAAACAATTGGATGAGGAAAGAAGATCGCGACTCTCGTTAGCTGCTACGGTAAAACGCAGTATGGGAGTTATAGACGGATAAGAAAGTCGATAACATCAAAGAATTATATCATAAGAATTGTTTAAGAATAAATTTTTCACAATGTTCATCTCATATATACGAGTTTTAATCATAAAACGCATAATATATGTCGCGTGTTGTTGGAATGTTTTCATAAAGTTTACTATTTTTATGATATACTATATATATATACATATATGTATATGTGATAATTAAGATAGAGAAATATACATGTAAAAAAATTATTTATGTATTTTTTTAGTATATTGTACACACTCGGCAATAAAAAAAGATATTCAGTAAATTGTGTCACATCATTAGGATTCATAAAATAGTGTCTTTATATGCAGTTTGTAGCAAAAAGTGGTTACAAATGTAATTCTATTTGTCGCAATGAAATTCATTACAATGAAAATTATAAACAGGATGGTAAGAAAAGTTTAATTAACGAAATTACATAAATTTATTATAATAAATTTCTTCGGTTATCACGAGCGACATTAATGTAATGTTACTCACGACATTTACAATATATATATCTTGGATTGAGAAAGATGTATGTATTTATCTTAGCTTGTTCTTTATACGTTCCAATTCGTTAACTCTACTTCGCGCGTGTTCCAATCTGTGCCATGCCATTTGCAGTACCTTTTGACTTGCGTATCCGGAACCTTCGTGCGGTTGACCTACGAGAAAAGTTATTAGAAACGTACATCGAAGAAGGAAGCGGGTGCGGGAATGATATCGTTAAACAAGTGTGCATACCAGTAGAAACCTGTGTGAGATAATTAATCTGTTCGCTCAATTTAGATTCCAATTGTCCTAGAGTCTTCAAGAACTGATGCGTCTGGGATTCCGCCTGCTTCAAGCTCGATTTCTCCTTGCTCAGTTCCATGCAAGCTTGTCCTGTGCAACATAAAGAAATATCTTCATCGTATATGTAGTATTTTTATACATGAATTATCTTCGCTTCGGGAATTAGTGTGTATTTAACCTTGTTCCGCACATTCGTTGTGCAAGTACAACTTGTACTTCGATACACAAGGAATTAATACCAAAACGTTTAACTCATTAAAAACGTTTAACAATTACCTGCACTTTGTAAACATACTATAATATCCTTTTCGATAGTCTCTAAAATCTGGATCCTTTCCATCGGCGGCGTCATTATGACTTCTATTTATACCTGCAGCTACCTTTGAATCAAGAAATTCGCGTAACACTTTTGCTCCTCAGTGAACTTCACTCGTACCTCATAGCCCAATTTGTTCGTGAGTACAGTAAAAAAATTATCGAAAAACGTTAAATGTCGAATGATACCGTGCAATGACAAATAAATCGATATCGAACACACGGGATCCCGGAGCGTCCCGGAGACCCGGACTGCCTCGATAGGTTAAAACAGTATGGCCGCGTTCAGCGACGATTAGTTGCGCGAGGCAACGCTAGATAGCGCTCGACCGCCAACTATAGTTCAGTTTGGCGCTTTTGCCGCTGCACGGCGCGGCGTTGCGATCGACGTAAGATTCTCTTGACTAAATTCCGATTAAGTTAATCGACTGAAATCGAGTGATTAACCTCATCGAGCCGTATTTGTGGTACTTTACCCATGTAGAAATATGAATTTCTTGTTACTGGACACCTGGGAACCTGCTGGTTGAATTAAACTGAGAGGACGACCCCGATTAAGCTGCAATTTAGTTAATCGGAATTTAGTCAGAGTAATCTTCACTCTGAAGTTTGCCGTTCAAACTCCAATTCAGTTCCTCGATTAAACTGCAATTTAGTTAATCGGAATTTAGTCAGGGTAATCTTCACTCTGAAGTTTGCCGTTCAAACTTCAGTTCAGTTAATCGGAGTTGGGGTCGTCCTCACCCTGAAGTTTGTTGCATTTGAGTTCGCGCACTTATTTCAATTCGTTCGTAGACTTATCCGACTTTATCGAATTATATTAGGCTTGTTTTTTTTGTACATACATATGTTTCTCATCTTTTCACTTTTTCTATCTAATGTCGTGGACATGCCTGCATTTTAATAAAACGTGTATCTGTACGAATATTATTAACAGGTGAACACAATCCTCAGTTTTATTCCATCCACGTTTCTCTCTAGTAAAAAAATTTCTTACATTTTTTTTCAGAAAGTTCCTTCCTAAGAATTTATTGTATTTTAAATTTATGAAAAATTTTGAAAAATATGCAAAATTCAAGTTTAATACACATGATCAAATTGATAATACAAAGAGAGACGCGAAATAAATCAATTGTATATTATAATAAATTGTTACACTCGGATTAATTATGGATTAAATAAATAAATCATTGTTTTCTTAAAAATGTCATCTCATTAAATAAATGTGTTTATCTTGCGTTTTTTTTTATTACCGTATATTTACATACCTATTTACAGTGATATCAACGTTTTAGCAAATAAAACATAATATCTAGGGTATGAATTAATTAATAAATTTTCTGACAGTAATATAACAAATATTAATATATTAATATTTATATATATATAAAATATATATGTATACGCAATTTTTATATTTTAACATAACGGCAAATTTTTGCAGTGCTGCATTTTTCGAGTACGGTAAACGCTAAAGTTCCCCCGTTCGTTGCAAAGATATAAGTTGTCATATGGCTAATGACTGTATCTTTTTATGTCTTAGAGACATATTATCGCTGAATGCATGTTAAATATTTACTTAAACAATCTTACTGTCTATCACACAATCACGCTATAAAAAAAATCTCTAAGAGCAAAATGACCAACATTGAGGTACTATATGCAAAAAAATATTTTGCACGAGAATCAAATAACTATACATATATATATTTTTTTTTAATTTAAAAAATGAAAACGGGATATAGCAGCATGTAATATATGCATTATAAACTAGTCTCTTCTTCCTTTTCGTGTTGTGTAACATATTTAATATTTTATACTTACATTTTAGCATTTTACAGAATTGAAGCCATGTGTGAACACCTATAAGTAAGTCTTCTCTGATAGTTCTAGTAGCTAACACAATAATAATTTAGATAGATATTTTGTTTAATAGAAACATCAGTTATAACATAGCATTTACAATACTATTTTTTTTAATTAGTTGCTTTATACTAGCTACACATTACATATTTTTATCTAAATAATAATTTAACTCATCTCAATATGTGCTCTAATTACGGCTATCAAATTCATTACAGTCTCTTAATGAAATATCTTATGAGTAATCATATCAATAATTATATCTTAACTTATACATAAATTTATATCATTAACAAAAAAAATATAACAGTATTCATACATTTCATAAATGTATAATCTAAAGATTCATTGTTCTTTTTATTATTTATTACAGGTCGCTAGTGCGATTATTTACTTCATTCTGGAAGAGAAATCTCTCGCGTCACCGAACCTAAATTTAAAAGCTATCAATATCTAAAGTGACTAGAAATGTTGCTATATGTTTTCTCTTTTTAACATACACATACTTCTTTTGGCAAGATTTCTGTGATATAAATGTACGAAATAGTGAACAATTTCTGGAAATACTATATCTAGCATTATATAATACTTGCTTGACGTTTATCGTTTACATAATAATATGTACATTTTCAATTTAAGCAGCTTTGTTTACTCTATATTTACAAAACAATCCATTGCATGTGCTATGTACACATAAAAGTAAATGGTTTTATAATCTAAATATGCTCAGATGGCACTCAAATTTTATACTGCAACTTTAAAACATTTATGCCATCAACATATAACATTGCACTGAACGGTATCAGGTGCTGGATGATAGTCCTGATAGAATTAGTAACGAATGTACCAAAGTACATTGCAACATTGTATTAATTACTCTTATACAAAGCTCCATGATATCCTAAAGTACTAATAGATAATGAATTCTTTTTAATATGTGGAAATTTAAATGCCATAAGTTTAAAAGTTAATATAGGGGCAGTTTTAGAGCATATATACAAGATGTCCCTTTAAATTTATAAAATAAATTCATTCTTTGTATAGAACATATGGAAACAAGAGTTGTCGAGTTCGCTTTATTTTATCCACTTTATAATATTATCAAGGTACATACAATACATACATATGTATATATATATATCTAAAGTCAAAGTAGATATAAAGCCTCTATCTACCTGTAAACTATTAAGAAAAAGATAACAGATAGCACAAAATAAATTTTTTAACCATTTGAAACATAAAAGAATTTATATATTTATTAATAGAATTTTGAAACAAAAATTAATAGGTTAAAATAGAAATTTTCATTAACTTATTTCATTTTGGAGAGTCTACTTTTTATATGTGAAAATGGAACATCTAGTATATATCTGTTACATACTATGCTAATAAAGAAATCTTAAATAGCAAAATTTGAGAAAAACACATTTAGGTGCCCTTAAATAGCGTGAACATGATAGTCACATTTTGGAATGTATTTCAGGCCCCTTTAATTATCTAAAGTATTTTTCCAATTTATAGTCAATGTAAGAGAAAATATACTTAATGATGGTAACATTTACTTTCCCGCCATCATGCATCATATATCCGCACATCTTACGGTTAAGCAGTAAGTGAGGCATTCATATTATAAGGCGTCACCTATTATACCTTCGTTACTGTGTTCCAGAGATTCACATCCAAACAATACGTATTCTTCTCGTGACAGCCAAAATGGATTACCTTCAGTATATTCCGGCGGAGTTTTATCTAAACCAAATGTTAGAACATGAGATTTTTTGATACTCTAATTTAGTTAATTTTAAAATGTTATTCTTTATTTACTATGTTTATGCGTCTTTTAATGTATCTTAACTATTTCCGCGTTTCCCCTATCTTCATATTTTTATACTTTATTATTCCGTAACTCAATACTCTACATTTAATTATTTAGTAGTGTAGATATATATAAAAGTTATCGATACTTACCAGGATGCACAGCTAAAGGCACATATGTAGATCCCATTGCGACATTCCAACTATGCGTACCAGGACAGCTTTTCACCTCCAAAATCCTGCTATACTCTGGCAATAGCTCACGTAGATCCTTGGTGAGTCTTAGTTCGAAACCCGCAAGATCTGTATTCCCACCAGTAAGTAGAATATGTGAAAGACAATCTTGCATTATATCTTCCGGTAATCCTGACGTTACATCCTTTATAACTTCGGGCAAACGCAGGCTGATATACATCATTTCAGGAGCTATGTACAACTCTGGCCCTAATGAGACTCTCTAAAAACAATATTTTCCTATAATATCTTTCCATGAACCTTCTAATACGCAAATTGTCGGCGAATTTATTTTCTCTTCGGCTGTACTATATACATACCCAAAACTGCTTGTAGTCCGCATAGCTATCAACTCGAAGATTAATATGCTCTCTCGCCTTCTGTCCCAGACGTTTCTCTTCGTTTTTAATATTGTAACTCAGCCTGCATCTTTCTTTAACAGCCAAAATGTCTAGATAGGATATAGGAATTTGATGATATTCTTTCGGTTGCCAGTACATAGCTTGTTTCAAGTGATAGGCAACGTGCCAACCACCCACAGGCAAAAGTCTCCAGCGCTGTGGCATAACCCGTCCTCCGATTACAACAGCCACCGTTGTGCTCAGAGCACCGCTATCGACTACTACACAGGTTTCCACATCCAGCATAGCACATGCTGCTAGAGGCTTCGGTACCAGACATACTCTATAATAACATTAGCTGTAGATTTTTACAGCTAGTTTCGAGTATTCTACCATTATTTTAGAATGTTGGTAAATGATAACAATTGCATTAAATTAAAACAATTGTGTAATATACATAGAAAATGCAACTACTGAAATAATAGGATGTGTGATGTGTGTGTATATATATATATATTTATTATTATAAATTATCATGTACCTTGCTACTTTAACTTCCTGGAATAAGTAATGTAATAACTGTTTTCTCAAGGTGGGATGCATCGCCAACGGTTCACAAAACATGAGTACCGTATTCGGCTTTCTGAGCGTCGCGGTCAAGCTCATCTGGTGAAACAAATGATCGATAAAGGTTTTGAGAACTGGGAACGTGCCTTCGCACAGGAGGGCCTCTGCCGGGCTCACAACATCCACGTTTGGAATGCCGAGCACTTCCACCGTATCGGTGCAATAACCATTTATGAGCTTCTGATATATTGGATTTGGCCTGGTATAGCACATCGGATCATTCTGATGCGTGGTTAATCTTCGCTTCTCCCTGTACAGCTTCACGGGATTGCAGAAAACGCAGAACGGCCCGCTCGGTCGCGGGATCTTAGCGGTCGCCAATTCCGGCAGCTTCAACAGCTTCAATCTCTTCGCCAACGACTTCGTGTCGGACTTCGAGCGCGTGCTGCTGCTCGGAACGTTCTGAGTCTGCGCCTGCTCCACGTGGGTCTTGTTATTGTACTTCGGAATGCCGAACATGGAGAAGTGTCGCCTCAGTCCGAAGTACGGGGTGATGACCCAGGTGTACTTATTGCCGATCTCGATCACCACCTTGGCGCTGGAGCCCTCGACGCAATTTCTCTGACACGTGTAACCACTACAGTGGTAACACTTTGGGAAAGGTGCGTTCTCCCCCAACGTTATCACCATGTGCAGTCTGTAGCACATAGCTTTAAAGCTGACGCTGAGCAATTGCAAGCATTTTATGTCCGGGAATTTAAAGTGCACCTTCGAGATTAACTGCAGCCATTTCATCTTCCTAAAATAATGCAAAACGTATTATCCTAGAACTCCGGTCCCGAGCACCGACGGCTATACTCTCTTATTTGTACGTCCGATACTCGGTTCCCTCACGGGAGACACGAAGGGGACAAGGTTGGGTCGCCCAGGTCACGGAAAAATTTCAACCGGCGAACACCGCGGAAAAGCAACGAGCGGGATCGATATACCCGTCAATTCGTGCAATAAGTAAAGTCCCGACCGTTTCGAGCGTACATCGCTCGCAGGGTCGATTTGACGGTAGTCCGACGTAAATCTAACCTAACGCGCACTCACCACAGGTAATCCGTGTCCGACGTTTTCCTCAGGTATTTGCAGGTGCTGCCGAACGCAATAATGTCAGGTACGTCGCAGTATAATAAAATCTTTATCCAAATTTCCTCCGGGAAGACCGCGGGATCCATAATTGTTACTGATAAAAACGATAGAAAAGTGTACGATCAACAGTCACTTGACAGTCAGGCCTTCAGACACTCCCCAGGACCAGCTAATACGCTAGTCAAGTTCAAGGTTACGATGGCGAATTACGCGAATCAATATGTTACCCGCGAACGGTATCATTGTAGAAATAATCTCGTGAAAATTTTTTCCTGTTTCTTTTTTGGCGTGTACTTATTTAATTTAGTTCGAAAATTAACAAAGTTATGCAAAATGTAATCAAATCACCACCACTAATTATAATTCAAATCGGTGTAATGATTATTTAATAATCGGACAAGAGAAATGATAACGGCAAACATTGAATGCAACGTATTTATACGAAATTATTTAATGAAAAATATCTACATCTTTTTTTCTTCGTTTGATTCAGTCAACAGTAAAGTATTTTTAAAAATAATACTGCTCGTTCGAGTCCCTCTTTTGTGTTCACAACGTGGTATACAATAATTCTCGATTTACGAAGCGGTCAGGAGCGCCTCAATGTAAGGATTCTTGTGGGAGAGAATATCTTCTTTTAACAACGACAGCTGATTTTCCAGGTCGGTGTTAGATAAAGACTGGTCTAAAGCTTTACACTTTGTGAGAAATTGCGAGATAAGGATTTCACCCTCCTGCAACAATATTAAATATTGTGAAACTGTTATATCTATATCATTGATATCAATGATAAATTATTAGTTGAACGACAAATTATTATATAACAGTATCTATTATCTCATTTAATTATTAGAATTATTAACAATAAAGGTACCTGAATAATCTTCTGTTTCTTCTGGGGATTATCAGATCCTTCAAAAGCTACGCCTTGATAGTCCTCGAGCTCTGCTTGCTTTCTTTTGGCGAACTAAACGAAAAGTCGTTCAATATATAAGGAATTTTATAATATTTTCTAATACGTGCCCATAAATCAAATATATACCTCTATTACATCTGGTGGGAAATTAGCCATCTTAGCGACATGAAGACCAAAACTTTGATCACAAATCCCTGGCTTTATTTTATAAAGTAACGTCAATTTATTGTCTTCTACAAGAGCGGTAACATGTTGATTTTTTACAGTAGGTATTTCTTCAGCTAACTTTGTAATTTCGTGGAAGTGCGTAGCAAATAGGCAATACGATTTAATATCCCTCGCCAAATGCCTAAAAGAATATAAAATAAAACAAAATGGTTTTCAATATTACTTTTTTACATAATATAGATTATTGTGTTGTATACTTACTCTGCTATTGACCACGCTATACCACAACCCTCGTAGGTAGATGTACCTCTACCCAATTCGTCGATAATTACAAGAGAATTACATGTCGCTGTCTATAAGTGAAACTTAATATTAGATATATAGACCATATTGTGTTATTATAATTTCTGAATGATAAATGATATAAATTACCTTCAAAATAGCAGCAGTTTCTATCATTTCCATCATGAAGGTCGATAATCCTTTTAGCTGGGAATCGTCAGCTCCCACTCTAGCCAATATGCAATCCAGTAATGATATAGTTGCTTTATCACAAGGAACAAAACTACCAATATGAGCCATTAATGCAGTTACACCAACAGATCTGATATAAGTACTTTTACCTCCCATATTTGGGCCAGTAATAATGCAAAAGTGGCACTGATCTATAAAGAATTAAACCAGGAATTTTTCATAATAAATGTAATTCAAAATATTGCAATTTTAGTTAATTATTTTTCTAATTATATTATTCTATATTATTATTAATTATTATTAGCATTATTTCATAGATCCAGATCTTATATTCATACCTCTTTTAAAATTGATATCATTCGCAATATAGTCGACTCCTTGTTGCATTTCCAAACACGGATGTCTAACTTGAAGGAGATTCAATTCACCTTCTTCGCTCGGGACCATTTTGGGGCGCACATATACCTTGTTAGCACTTACTGCTGCAGAAGCAAATGCAGTGAGAACATCTAGGCATGCCAGCACGCCACCGATGGTACGCACTGTTTCGCTATAGCCAGCTAGAAACATAACGTAATCAGAATAAGAATTATGATAGTTATATTAATATTACATTGGAGTAATTTTTTTAAACAAGAATTGATACCAAACCTGCAATTCCTACAATTTCTGTAATAACGCCTTTCTGCCTCTCCAAATATTTATTCCTGGCATCTATAAAATCGTCATTCAATTCGTTTAATTTATTGTTTCGGAATCTTACGCCAGCTTTATTAGAATCCAGAATAGTGTAATGTTTCTTGTTCCTAAGTATTTTCTCTTCCTTTAATGTGATACGAAAATAATAGCCGAATTGTTGATTAGATTCTAGCTTTAACATCTTTCCTGCTTCTAAGCAAAGATCATTCGCTGCCTTATTGAGTTGTTGTTGAATGGTTTCTTCCGTTTCATCCATTGCGTCTTTTAATGCTATAATATTACAAAATGGTTTATATATATGTATAATTATATTTACTTTATATTTATTTAAAATAATGAAAACTGAATGGAAAGAAAATATAACTTACAATATGTGCCAAAAGTTATGCATTTTTTCTTGTTAGATCGTTTCTTATTTAAGATTTATAAAATATAAATTTTATAAAATCTAGATATAAATCTAGATATCTATAATTTAATGCATATCTTTTAGACATTCTATATATCTTTATAGAAAATTTAATAATGAGTCAGAATTTAAGATTGTTACTTTTCAGATCATCTTCAAATCCTGAATTGACCATAAAATCACCCCTTTCTGCAGCCTCTAAATCAATTGTCTGCTCTACCAGTTGTTGAAATTTATCCATATCCTCTATAAGTTCCTTCAGTGGATCTATTATCATTGTTTTCAAGGCTGTGATAGTTCCTTCTGATGAAAGCTGTTCCATTAGTTTTGGTAAGTATGATACGCACAGGTAGATTCTGAGAAGTACATATAATCAGCATTAATACAATCCTGATTTACAATCTTTACCATCGATATACTTGTTCTAATTGTGACGATAACTGTTACTTTCTACAATAGCGATAACTTACTTGTAACAATCTTGTAACGTCGACTTCTTCCTAGCAAGTTTCTTCGCGAGCTGTTGTAGATCCGGTATACGTTTTAAATAGTCATCACTAAGAACAGATCTTAGTTCGTTATTTGTTACTAATAGCTCAACGATATCATGCCGTTCCTTTATTAGAGATAGGTCTTTAAGAGGCTGTCGAACCCATTGCGCGATTAATCGGTGCCCTTGCGCGGTTCTGCATTTATCTAATAATGTTAAAACGCTGGCGACTGGATTTCCATGTAAATTGGGAATTGTATCAGTATGTGGTTCGATGTTGAGAGCTTTTATTGCCGCAGAATCCAATCTTATGTACCGCGACTGCTCGATTTGATTCAGTTTAAATTGATTCATATGGCCTTCGTCTGATGTTAACTGATAAACAATTATTGCATAAGAAACACATAACGATAAGAGGCATATAGGGTGTCATCTTTATCATAAATTTTAATGATAAACACATATGCAATGTTTTTAATTGTCAAATAATTCCTTATGTTAAGTTTTTGGTTATTTTTATTTTTATTATAAGAAAGAAATTGTCGAATTCATTAATAAATTATCATCAAGATTTGATAAAAATGCTACGTCCTATATATTCTTGTAAATAAAACTATAAAAAAACTTACATCTAAATATTTAATAAGAGCAGATGTTGCAGACATGGCTAAGTTTAAGTTAACTTCAGGCAACGATTGCGCATTCTGTTTTTGTCCTTTCTTAAATTTTATTAACGTGTTCAGGTCATCAATAATTGAGTCACTGGCAAATTCATTTTTCTTTCTTAAAGTAACCATGACGTTACTTCTTTCCATCAGCTGGAAAAACAAATATGAAATTATAATGTTAGGTGTATCAAAATATTTTAGTAAAATGTATAATTCTCGTCATATTTTAAAAGCATAATATTTTATATTTTTGACGTTGTACATACTTGTTTGAGAGTTTGAAATTCATAACTGCCTTCTCCCTGAATTAACAAACATTCTTTTGGAGCAAGTGTTACAAGGAGCGACTCTAGATTTGAAAATGATTCGTTATCTTGAAATTCAGCAACTGAAATTAAAGTTGAAACGACATCCACACAACTTAAGCCGACGACCTGCAAAATAATTTAGTTATATATAATTTTGAATAAAAATGGTAACATATTTTACTCTACATAATTTCTTAAATATATTATATAATCACATATAATATGTATATAATTATAATATTTATATGTTAGAAAAAATTATAATTATAATTAATGATAATATCAAATTGATTCTGTGAGATAAATTATATCAAAATATACAAAATATTAATGTTATTTTAGTAAAAGTATATATTTAATCATCCATGATGAACTCACTCTGGATTTTCCTTCTGTTCCCAGTTTCACAGCTATTACGGATACACCCACAGCTATTTCATTATTGCCGAACAAGATATCTTCGAAATGAGATAGATTGCCGGGTGAACCTTTGTACTCCAAGATCCAGTTCTGATTTTTAGAGGAGCCTTGATTGACATAAACTTCAACTCTATATTGCTTCACTAACAACAAGTCGCGTACAAACGTCTCGAAATGACTTTTATTGAGAATAACTCCTTCCGTTTTATGGGGCTCTGCAAAAACATTGATTTTGTTATTAACATTAAGATATAAATTTTGCGTTGCACTACGCTTAAACTTGGACACTTTTTAAATTAAGCTAAATAAAATATTGTGAAGCATCAAATACACATACGATACATTTATCGTGTTAATATGAGTATATATTAAAAGATACCGATTCTTTACAAATATACATAATTAAAACATGCATGAATACGCATACAAAGTAAAGAGATATGAGTACATCAAAACCAGAGGATATTTCAAACCAGAAACGAGGGTATTCTAGTTGCTAAAATACATTCTTTTCAAACAAACTTAAGATACGGTTCTTTTATATCAGTATTTAAAAATTATTCAATGCGTAAATAATGTTTACCAGCTCCAATCATTTTACACACGGATGTTGTTTTAAATACTTCTTGTGCAGCAAAGAGAGCGTCGCTTCCATGTACCGTATAATAGTCTGATCTATTGAAAAACCGTATCGTGGTATCGAGTTTCTGAAATACAAATTATTACTTGTTGATTATCAAGTCAATAGTTTCCGTGAATTTCTCTTCTACACGATGTGTAATCTCTATTGCGACATACTGAATTATTTTACGATGCGTGATATTGCTGAAAGACTCACTATGCTTTCATTAAATTATCTCCGACATTCGAAGAAATGCTTTAAACGATGCGTGTGACGAATTGAGAGCAGATAATATGTCATTCGGTTATATATTGAATCTGACGCCTTATAAACTGTCATTTACATTTATCCTTGACTTCTTTGCGTGACGTTGCAAGCTTCCAGATACAAGCATATAATTTTTAAAATAATATTTCTCAATTGTTACTTCTAAAGTTATACATTTACATTTTCTAGATATATTGTATATATAATGATTATATATTCGTCAGTTTTATATACAAAAACACATCTTCACATTAATTTTTATTTGATGATATTTAACACGATATTTTTGTTTGACTTGCATTTTCTGCTACATGGTTTTCTAATTAGCCACATCACACGCGTGTTTGCAACTACTAGAACTTGGATATTTTTTACAATTATTCGGGATTATACATTGTTTGCGAAGTACCGTCATACATATCATATTTCTGAGAAATTAAAAACCTTGCCGACGTATCTGTAGGTCAATGCCTATCGAGGGGTCAGAGTATCACAGGTCGTAACGGCTCCGCGATGTGTGCGATTTTATATAAGTTTGGAATTTAAAGAAACATTTTACTGGCGCCGTAAAATTTTGCAGATAACCACTCCTGTTCGTACAATTTCTTTGCACCTTACAAACGAACAATATAAATAAATGTTCTTTCATCTACTTTGCTCAAAAGCATTGGCAATGTTCTGAGACTAAAAACGTTCCAAGTTGAGAGCTTTTAATATATAAAAATTGTATAAAATGTATTATAATAATAAAGTAATGTATAAAAATTTTAATATAACTTTTCACTATAAACTTTTTTTTAACGAGTTCTCAATATAATAGATCATTGTACGACCATCAAATGAGAGAGATGAAGAAAAAAAGAAAAAGAGATATGACAATAATATTCATTGAATAGATAATATTTCATGAAAATAAACTAGCTTTTATTTAATAAGTATTTCTCATATTTATACGTGTTAACTTGTCCATAGGGAATCCCAACAGTTTCAATGACACCAATATTGAGGTCACGAAGTGGTCCACATCAGTCCACATCGTGGAAATATCATTCATTCTTAGCATGATAAAAGAAGATCAGAGTTCATATTCTAGGAAGGTCAGTAATTTTTGTAACAAAGTGGGCCATCGTTCTTTTGTTCTTTGTAATCTGTTTTCTGGATTTCTTTATTTAGAAAGAGCCCACCACCGTTGTATTCCGGTAAAAAGCAAGCGCGAGAATACAAGCGTCATTGGGAGAGCCACGGCCTTGACGTAAAGACGACCTTGAAATTGCTCCTACTGAATGAAAGCGAGCCTGATCGTCGTTACAAATTCAGAATGACTTAACCGAATAACACATCAAATCGAATATGGAAAACCGCTTGTCGTGACTACCTGGAAGTCGTTGAGTTATGTCCGTTGCCGTACATATACGTACATATGTAAGCAGACAATGCATCATGTATTTATCTATGTGTAAGATATTGCGGTGTAACTTTAAGCGAACAGGATATGAGACTGATGGGAGATAATGGGAGATTAATGTGAGGTAATAATCTATTTTTTAAGTGCTATATTTAAACACGATCAATTTGCAATTATAAGTAAATAATTATTTTCATCCATTATTTCCTATTCTGATAAGATATACTTTTTTTTTTAAACAGACCTGTTTTTTTACCAAAAGATGTATTTTCTACACGATACAATAAACCTTTCTATGTGATTAATTTTAATGTATCAGTAAACAAGATTTATAGGAATGTATAATTTAGTATCGTTTATTGTCACATAAAGAATGTTTTTTCTAAAATAAAAAACATTATAAAAGAAAACTGTTTAGCTTGAAAGAACTCCAAAGAGCTAATACGATCCATGACTTTGAATCTAGGACAAAGATTTATAACAAGAATACAACAAAAGCAAATAACAAATTATAAAAATATATGTTCCTGACACTTACGTCAACGGTAGAACCCAATCTTACATTGCTGAGAATTATGCGCGATAAGACCGAGTCTGGACACTGTGATGGATAAGAAGGAAAGATCACTAATATGTGTAAGAGCGAAAAAGAATGCTCCGCGAGAATTCTCGGTAAGAAGAAGGGGGGGAAAGAACATAAATGGATTTGCAATAATCTTCTTCTGCTATACGTGAGCCTACAGTGTTAGTTAGAACATCTCTGCATTAAGAACTGAATTTATAAGTGTTTCTCGATCTTCCAGTATAAGGTAAATAAAATATGATATTGTTTTCCTAATATCAGGTGTGACTTGAGTGTATAAATAAACGTCGTGTCTTATCAGTGAACAAAATAGACAGACTTGTCTTCTTGCTATTGCTACAATAAAAGTGCCTTTTAATTTAACACAGATAATAAGACGACTGCATCACTAGAAATATCTTATTTTATTTAACAAAGTACGTTCCGCATATATTTTTCATATATTCATCAGAGAATAAACTATTCATCAGACTAAAGCAAGTGGATTAAAAGTTTCGCGATCTTGCATTTTTAAATAGATATAGACAGTAAGTTATGTTATTTCTTCTTTACAATATTAAAATTAGAGTTTTGATCGAGAAATATCGGTAATACATTTATATTATATATTATTTGATTTGTACATCTTATGTGTTATCTCCTATTTATCATTTATCGTAAAGCCTGACTTTGATGAACCTGTTTATATACCTACGTTACATCACACATAACATTCGCGGAATAGCAAATCTGAGTTGATCTTGCCAAAACAAAAAATAAACTTACGTTAAAATGGAAAATAAATAATGTTTTCTGCAAGAATGTCAAAACATAAAAATATATGTTTTTGAAACTCTCGTTTGCGTAAAATAACGATTTTTCATCGATCATACAATATTATTTCATTTAATTTTGTAAAAAAACCTAATTCTATCTATTTGTGATTAAAAGATAAATAATTTTATATTAATTATCTGTGTTTCTAAAAATTGATTTATGAAGAATCTTAATTATGTAACATATAAAAAATATTGAATTAAAAAAGATTTTTAAAATATTGTCAAAAAGACACAATTCTCATCTTGTTTAAATATCTAGAAATGTATATTTTGTTTTGGATTTAAGGAAAGATACAAAAAATATATATATATATTTTTTTAAAGCACTTAAATACTTATTTTTATTTTATAGGGATCGGGGATAATGGCGATAGGAGGAATAATCGTTTTATCCGCATTAGTTGTACAAACATTATCAGCGCCAAGTGGCTGCATAGAAGCCTGCAACTTCCTCCAAACAGGCATTCATCAAACGTTGGGCAGTTATCAAGATCATGCAAATTTAGTTCAAGCAAGAACGAACCTAAATGATTACGATTACGCTAAACCAGGAAACTGGACTGAACATAATCAGTATAGCACAGACAGCGGGCATGGTAAGGTTCACGAAGAACGAGGACAATATGTCGGAGGGTCGAAAAGGGTGAGATATTACAAGAAGAATTTTACCTCATCCTACGGCAACGTGAACGGAGTGAACGCAGCGGAATTAGGCGAATTAGGCAGTCAACACAGGTATGACTCGATGCATGTGCCAAGCCAGGATATCGATTCCCAAAGCGCATACGGTCTAGGACAGACCGTCACGAAGGAGACCGGATACAACAGAGTGCACAGCCAACAGACACAATCACTGAGAGGATCGACAACGAGAACCGATAGCCAGAGTCAGAGGCTAGAAGATTTTGGGGAATACGGCGGATATTCGCAGGTGAATCAACACGTTCCCGTCATTAACACTCAAACGGTCGACACACAGCAACATGTTCAAACAGCTCCCAGTAATTGGAGCAAAGTAGACTCGTACAGAACCGACGGAGGTCGCGGACAGGTCTTCGAAGAGGAAGGTCAATACGTAACCGGGCCTAAGAAAGTTCGCTATTACAAGAAAAACTACACCTCCAGCTACAGCTCCGGCGTTCCTCAAAGCAACATTGGCTCAGCGACCTTGAACGAATTACACAGCGAATTGCAAAGAAACTTGCAGACCAACCTTGACAGCTTAAGAAGGGATTTTCATCAGGCCTCTAGCACCGGACACACCGCCGCCACCACGCACGTAGGTTCGACGGTGGACTTGACTCAGGAAGCAGTCGGTTTCCATGATCTGCAAACCGCCGAGAGCGATGGTTACAGACAACATGCGGGCTACCAGGGCATCCCGTCCACTGGAAGTGTGCATCATTACACTGATCAGCAGAGAGAAACACTTACCGATACGAGGCAGCTGCCGCACACATATCCTACCGCGGCTGCAGATACATATGGCACGGGAAGCCATCGAACTTATCAAAGCCACGAGACTCACATGTCCCGAGTACATCCTGTGCCTCAATCGAGTCACTTGTCTCCCGGTTACGTGCAGGTTCCTACAAGCGGTTACCACACCAACTACCATAGTGCGCACTCGAGTGGACATCATCTGGACGAAACCCATCGTGCAGAGGTCTTGGGCGCGCATCAGTCCAGCGTGCTTCAGAATCAGCTGCTAACCGAAAACTCCCAGCGCGTGTACAACCCGCATTCAAGTCACGTCACTTATCCCAGCAGACATGGCGAGACTAGGCACTACGAGGAGCAATGGAGATCCTCCAGTCACACCGGGGGCAGCCTAGCTCCCGAGCGAACCAGTGCGGACCATTCCGCGCACGATGTCGGTCACACGGAAAGAGCGCATTACGATCGAGACGCGTATAATGAACACCGCGGACGTTATCATAACGCCCAGGGATACGAGTCCCGCGCACATACTGGCGCACATACTGGTGCATATACTGGCGCACATACTAGCGCACATACTGGCAGCAGTTATGATTCCGCGTACAGAACGAGTTCGGGACAACTCGTCACCGGATCGCTGGACTTGGGGCATGCAGCGCACGGTGCCGATTGCACTGAGGAGACTCATCAGCAATATCAACACGAAACCAGATACCACAGAAAGTACAAACGAGAGGCTCATCACGGTAACGTGCAGCAACACCGAGCAATTGACGGAGATTTTACGCAGCAAAATCAGGAGGTTGATCAAAATTCACAACAGTTGGAAGACTTGACACAGCAGACGCAAGACTCTGATGATTTCACGCAACAAACGAGTGGTAAGCTTGAACTCGGCCAGCAAACCATTGATAATCATCACTTGGACGATTTATCACAGCAAAGCGAACAGCTCACGCAGCAGACGGAGGGTCAGCTTGAATTTGGCCAGCAAACTGTCGGTAATCCGCACTCAGAGGACTTAACGCAGCAAACAGAAGGTCAGCTTGAATTTGGCCAGCAAACTGTCGGTAATCCGCACTCGGAGGACTTAACGCAGCAAACGGAAGGTCAGCTTGAATTTGGCCAACAAACTGTCGATAATCCGCAACCAGAGGACTTAACGCAACAGAGTGAACAGTTTACACAACAGACACAAGGACCTGATGATCTCACGCAACAAACGAGTGGTAAACTTGAATTTGGTCACCAAACCATTGATAATCATCATTCGGAAGATTTAACACAGCAGATGGAGGGTCAGCTTGAATTTGGCCAGCAAATTGTTGGTAATCCGTACTTAGAAGATTTAACGCAACAGACATCCGACGATTTCACGCAACAAACAAGTGGTAAACTTGAATACGGCCAGCAAACTATTGATAATCAGCATTTAAAGGATTTAATGCAGCAGACACAAGGATCGGACGATTTCACACAACAGACGAGTGGTAAACTTGATTTTGGACAGCAAACTGATGACACTCAACAATTGGAGCAATTTGCACAGCGAACGGCAAGATCGGATAGGTTAACGCAACAAACTCAACTACGTAAACATGAATTTGGACAGCATGTTGTTGATAATAAACATTTAGATGATTTAACACAACAGAGCGAACAGTTTTCACAGCAGACAGAAGGTCAACTTGAATTTGGACAGCAAGTTGTTGGTAATCAGCATCTAGAAGACTTGACACGGCAAAATGAACAATTTGCACAGCAGACAGTAGGATCAGACGATTTTACGCAACAATCTATTGGTAAACTGGAATTTGGTCAACAAATGCAATCGATAGATAAATCTGCCAAGCCAAAAAGTCAACGTCTGGAAGAATTCAATGAGCAAAGTGGAGATTTCACTCAACAGACGGGAAGATTTAATGATTTTACGCAACAAACTACGGGACATTTAGAATTTGGACAACTACAACAACCGCACAGACCCGGTAAACCAAAAGTCGGCAACCATCATTTGGAAGACTTCACTCAGCAGAATGAAGACATAACTCAACAGACCGGAGGATTCGATGATTTCTCGCAACAAACAGCAGAACACTTGGAGTATGGGCAACAAAGAGAACAGCAAAAACCTAGCTGGCCGGGACATAATAATCAACGTTTGGAACATTATTCTCAACAAAATAAGTGGGATATAGATAATCTTTCACAACAGTCGCATCAATATCCATCCTACAACAGAAATGACAAACAATCCGAATGGCAATTAGAACAAATGTCACAAAAAACGAATTTTGATCAAGATTTTACTCAACAAACTGATCAAGATCAATTAGCACCTGTAAAACCAGCACCAAAGCCAAGACCAAGACCGCGATATCAGAAACATGATTCCATTCCAACACATACAGATGAAACAGATACAATTGTTGATGACTTTTTTAAACCGGTCGAGGTAAGCCCGGAGGCTGATATAGGTGATTCCCACGGAAGAATTATCGAATCTGGCAGTCGCGCATATCCTGGATCCAATCATGATACATCGAAAGTTTTATATTCGACTCAAGGAAGCAGCAGCGTATTCGACAACCAAAAGGAAAATATGGATCGCTTAAATTGGGTACATAAATCAAATGACGCTACAGTAGGCTTGCAATGGCATTATACTTATCATCCAAGTGACTTGACTAACGTTGAAGGCTCACATGACAATTTTTATCCTCGTCAGAATGTCGACCCGATGTCACAGCAAACAGAAGATATACAACAACAGTCCAAGCCATTTGACTTTAACCAACAGAACAAGGATACGTTAGAAGATAATCAAAATTCGTACATTTCTCAATCATCGCAACGTGACAGATATAATCAGCAGTCGGGATCGTTTCAACAAGTTGAAACGCCCCGCTTCGACAATCAATTTAATCAAGATTCTGACGAAATTCCATCAGGATCAAGAGTAATTCCATTGCAACGCGACGAAAATTCCCGACTGACTTCGGAACAAGAGAAACGATCGACGCCGACTACAGGGCAAACGGAAGATAAAATAGAGTCACGAATCTTGCAAGCGTATGGCGGAGGGCCATATGATGCATCACGTAGCGATGATTTCTATAGCAGAATTAGGCCAAATCCCAGCGCTACCTTGCCACCCATGGCTGGTGAGGATCCGTGGGATATCAGAGAAATACCGAGAAGGGTACCGGTGATACCTCGGGAATGGTCCACAGTACGCAACATACCAGAAATTGTAACTACAACCGAGGTGGCGGACATTACAACGCAGGCAATAGACACTACGACAACCCAGGCATCCTTCTGGAGCAGAGTTGGTCATAAAATAACCAGCACGTACGACAAGGCTAAGGAAAAAGCTAAGGAGATTTTCGGCTAGATGCCATATCCTACTTATTTAAGAATTACTTATTTAAGCACGGCAAAATTTCTTTCCCAATTTCTGAGTCGGGACATATCAAATTGCTACATTTATTTATGAATAATGTATGTATATTTGCAGTTACCAATAAAATCAAGACGAATCAGGAATGAACCACATAAACACGTATATCTCTCATGAGGGTATAATTTTAATTAATATTCTGAATATTAGTATTATAAAATATTACTGTTGTAAAACTAGGACAATTTTCGTATTTTATATAAATAAAAATGTATTTTCTTTTCTAACAGAAGTGTCATGTCTATTTTCGTGTATAAACGTAGAAAGTTTTACTATACTTTACATGTTTTCTTTATAAATGTTCATTTACATAATATCTATTGTTTCCATAAAATATCATCATTTCATTAATAACTTAAAAATGTAAACAAAAATAGAGTCTACTGGAACTGAATGTGATTACTTCTGTTTTGCTTCTTAATTTTTATTCTTAATAAAAAATATCATTAATAGTACAGGCAAAACTGTCAAGAAAACATTTCTTAATAGAATATTTTATGTAATCCAGAAGATCAGCTCTTTTTAGAAGACTATTTCTGGATACTTAAAATATTTAATATAAATTCTGATAATTATCTTTCTCTCCTTTATTTACTGTAAAATATCTATTTTATTGTAAACCCTGCGGGGAAAGACAATAAACTTATCTATCTATCTATTTTATTTCTTTCATCTATTATAAGTTATCAAATTAATTTGAAAAAGTGACGTTTAGATCTATATTTATGTATAAAATATGTACATTTCTTTGATGTAAACATTGTAAACCAAACTTGCAAGCATTTCTTTTGTAGAAATTTGAAAAAATTACTTTGTCACTGTAATACTTAGTCATTTACTAGAAGATGCTTTATATGACAGTTGTATTAATAATATAATAATATAAATAATTTTACTTTAGAGTTATTACAATCGCTGTAATTTCCCTTCAAATATATGTTCGATGTAATTCATCAACAATATAAAAGAAAATACAATGCCAACTAATAGTACTTTTGTACAAAACAAAAAATTATTAAAAATGTATTTTAAAAAAACATACAAATATATCGTTGTCGTAAGAATAATCGTTAACATTAGAGGAACAATTAATGCATAAATAATTATTAAAAAATTAAGAATTTTAACAATTGTATTTGTGTACGGTGCAGTGTAAACAATAATTTGCTTACTCACCTCTGGGAGACTTTTAAAAAATCTAACAAAACTCTGCTGCGTAGGAGGATCTGAAATAAATAATTATATTAAGACAACGTAAGTGTCTTATAAGAATGTAGTTAAATAAAATGCCTTAAATGTACCCATGCTGAACTGTTGGTTAGGTTGCACTGCCATGTTTGTGGTTTGTGATACAATAGAACGCAACACGAGCACTAAACGAGATGCAGCGAGAACTGTTAAAGGTTCACTAATGAAATTGGAAAATTTTGCTTTGCAAATCCTCAACCACCGTTATCCAAACAAATTTAAATGATAGATAAACAATCTCGATTGCCGCCAATTAATGCCGCCGAGAGAGAAGCCTAACCTGAAAACAGTGAGAATACTTGAGAGAGCGAACATGCCCGCATTTGTCAGATCTATTTTCACGTCCCGTGACGTGAAAAAAATATGCTCGGTCCACGTCCATGATGGCAGCACTCACAACACAATCTGACATTTGACAATCAGTTTATTTCGGATATTCGAAGGAGTAAAGTGGAGTAAAGTCATGTTTGCGCATGGTGTAACGTAACCTAAATGTATAACCTAAAATGGAGCAAGCTAAGCCGTTTTTTCTAACAGTCACGCAACGTATATTCAGTAATTGGACAGCGCTAAGAGTAAGTTCCTGCAATCTTTAATCTTGTATTAAATTCTCAAAAGCAGACACCTTTTGTATCTCAAAATATTAACATAAGTATGTCTTTCCTTTTTTTCATCACGTCCTAAATATATATGTATATATATATGATTCATATTTTTATTATATATGAAACGAAGTACCTACAGTAAAAATAAACAGACTGTGTATATATCTTAAACGTAGAAATATATACTTTCCAAATTTTAAAAAGTCATTGCTTTGTGTAATAAAATCATATTCATTTTTAGTTGGCAGTGGAACATGATATGGGTCCGATAGAAAGTGCAAGGGAATTTTGTTCGAATGTAACAGATGTACTGTGTATGAATGGTTTGTTACTTTCACTATTTTTTTAACACACAACAACAATAACGTTGTACTGAATTATATTTTGTGTTTTTCTAGAGGGATTGACCAGTGAAGAGGTTGCCAATCATCTAGAGAGTTATATGGACGATGCATTTAACACAGAACTACAGGACGATAGCAGTATGCAAGTAGCGGAGGAATTATTAAGGTTTTATCGATATTGCATAGCAGGCGACGAATCTACGGCAAAAACGGAATTTGAAAAATTACCCCAGCTACAGTCTTGGCTGAACTTGGAACAACCCGCTCGACCTACTCGGACAGTGAGACGTGAACCCAGCAGTTCAGAGGAGGATATGGATGTAGATAAGAACGAGCAGGGGGAAGATGGATGGACAGTAGTCACAAACAGGCGAAATAAATAACTTCCGAGTTCCTTTTATATGAAAGATATCTTTATTTAGCGATTTTTTTTTATGTATATATAAAAGAATGGAAAGACGGAAAGGAAAAAAAGGACAGGCGCGTGTGATATACGCACATTCGTTCCACAGTCATACGAATTTCAGCGCTACAATTATCTACAAAAATATAAATTTTTACCTAAACAGCCTTCTGAAATATTGCTAAATGTCATTTAGTAAGTGCGTCTTCTAGATCTGTAAACGATAAATAAAAAATAAACTTCTGTTCTCATTTATCTCGCAAAAATTGCGTATTGTAACATTAAAATGTTAAAGGTGCTACCTTTCCCATTTTGGGATAGATGGACGGTATAATAACCGTTGTGATATTGCATAGCTTGACTCTTTTGCGGGCTGTTTTGTTTTCTCTCACCGGGTCCCGCCAAGCTCAGTATCACCGGCAGAAATAATAATCCGTGAAACAAACCAAACGTCACTACGGCCGTGATCAGCTGAAACGATATGAAATATTTGGCATTTCCGTTTCTTTCACGGCGATTGTATTATATTCATAATTTTGATAGTATTATATCCGTACCTTAAAAAAAGCTGTGAAAACGTAAGCCTGACTGAAACCCAAGAGGAAGAAGGCGAGGAATGTACTTAGGCCACCGTTAAACACCGCCGGTCCAATGACGTTAAACGTCGCTAGTGCTCGTTCTGCAAATCCAATAAGATAAGAAATTATAACAGCGCTTTGAAACCACACATTATTGAAAGCTTATAATCTTCCACGTAAGAAAATTGTGTTATTATATATAACTTGCAAATTGTATTGTTTAAAAATCTAAATAGTAATAAAGTTTAATAGCTTCTAATTATAATGTAATTAATTTGAATGTATAAAACTTTTTATTAACTGTTTTAGTTAATAAATATTGATAAATCTTATCGAATAAAAATTGCTCCTTTACTTAATAAGAAACAAACGATAAAAATGCAATTTTATAATGCAATGTTGTTTGCTAGCGACCTCGTTTATTGCCGCTCGAGCGTATGAATTCTAGTGCCACATGCGCGGCATAATCGACTGCCAATCCGGCGCACAATAGGATCATAATGGTTGATGATATTTCGACAGTCAGCCCCAGAAAGTACATCGAGCCTAAAAGATCGATGAGCGTGAACAGCACGCAGCACATCACCCAAAATGATGCGAGTAGATTCCTAAGTAGCACCAGCGTTACTATTCCTACCGCCAATATCTCTAAGCTCAAGTTCCTCATCAATTCTTCGCCGATGATCTATAAAACCGATTAACCAGTTACATACATTTATTAATTGGTTAATACACTTGATAAAATTAAATTCTTAAAAAAAAAAACGGATTTTACCTTATTTGACTCCCATGCTATGTAATCCAACGAATAAAAAGCGATGTGATCGTATCCCTGAGTAAAGTTCACCGATTGCACGGCGTCCCTCATAGAATGCATAGCCCGTATTTGATCGGACGACGTGCTTATAGGAATGTGTTGCACTGGAATCTGCGATGTCTGAAAGCATTCTTCGTGAGAAAACATTTCGCAATATTTCGCATTTGTAGATTATAAAATGTATCGTTCTCTTTGACGTACTGTGATATTGTAGTCGTTAAATGGCAACTTATCGAATTTCATATTCTGGATGTACGCTTGGCCCTTCACCGTGAACAGGAGAAATTCCGTGAGTGTGTTATAATATTCGTCTTTATTATCAATATAATGCGCTGGCGAACGATACATAATATTAGTAAACTCTATATTTAGAAAATGTATATGCCATATGAGCAATCATATTACCTTTGCCAGTAGTGTCCAGCCATTCCTGATACGCCGTAAACCATGGGTCCAGGGTACGATTATTGACATACGGATTTTGCCTCAGATTCTGCACCAGCTGGGACAATGCACGACGATCCTCGTAATAGTCCACTCCTGTCAGGTATATGTTGACATTCTTGCCATACTTTGGAAAATATTCCTTCAACTTGTTGTTAAATCGTATAGGATAAGACTCTTGATTTAAATAGATGAACGGATCAAAGTTCTGCTCCAAGTGAAATATCGCCCAAATGTTGACAACTAGCAGAATAGCAGTGGCTAACAAGATAATCGTCTTCATCCATATTCTCATCACACAAGGCCCAATGTATTTCTCAAAAATAAGTCGCTGAAAGTTTTGTTTGCTGCACTCGTTCGGTCGCCAATTGGGTCGCGGCCGCCAACAGCAGCCTTCCCTTTTCGCCGCCAATCGCCTCTCGTCGTATACCAGACAACTGACGAAAAATATAATCTCGTAGATGTAGAGGAATAATATACCCATTGCGGCAAATATACAGAAGGATTTCAGGAACGGCATCACTGTCGTCATGCCGATGGCGAAAGCCGTCATGTTGGTGAGCGACGTTACGGTAATGGACATACCTATGAAGGTAAGCAAAATATATTAATTAAAATGTTTAATTATATATATAGACTATCTCTCAAAGACTTTTATTTTAACGATTCTATTAATATCGTTATCGAACGATCGTATAAACTTTTTTTGATTTTTATATATCGCCTGCATATTCTCCAAGAAATATATTCAAAATGCATTTATAGATGATATGCATAGTGTGAGTTATTTATATCCTCTTTGACGTTGAACTTGTTAAGATTTCATCGTACCTGATACTTGAATCGACTTTGCTATACGGGTGGGGACGTCTAACGACTTCTCCGTCTCCAATGTATTTTCGAGACTTTGCATGATAATGAACATATCGTCGACGCCGATACCAAGCAGTAAAAATGGCAGGATCGGATGCACTGGACCGTAGGAAAATCCCATGTAGAAACACACTCCATAAGACGACATTAGAGCCTGGCCAACCACGAAGATACCCATGAAAGATAGGTATATCCGTTGCTGTATCGCGTTGCACCGGCCGATCATCACAATCACGTAGATCATGATCAATAATATGCCACAGACACACACAATCAAATTACTATTGATCACTTCGTGCAGCATGTCCTGATAACTGCGTAGCGTCATCGCATAGATCTCCATGCCCGGTGGCAAGGTACGATTGCAGTGCAGTACCCTCTTGATGAACTCGACCTCCCAATCCGGTGAGTGCGGATTTGACTTCTTCAGCAACCAGTATAGAATCGTCGCGCTCGCGCTCTTTACCGACCCATTCTGGTCGTATTCGACGCCGCCTAATAACGGTGCGATGTCAGATAATATGTCTTTGGTATTCCTGCATAGAGTGAATAATTATATAAAGAGAGAACAAAAAGAGACACGTACAAAAAGGAACATAATATTGATATGACATAACATTATATTGATAACGCGTGTATTTCATCGAAACGTAATAAAAAGTGAATTCAGAAATAAAAAATTCAGAAATAAAGAATATTTCTAGAAGCATCAATTTACAACATGCTGTAGTCTGTATTTTATATTTTACCCGAGACTTTGAGCGATTCGATTTTACCGATTTTGCAAAATTCCAGCAACTTACTTATTTTGTAGAGTTGCGGTAACATCCTTCAGTATGCTAGCCTTTGTCAATTTAGCGACATTCCTATGGTTTTTTTGCCATATTTTCAGGAGCGATTTATGAATACAGGGTTCTTTCGCCATCGTACTATTTATAATAGGCAGATACTCATCGGGAAACTCAGTTTTATCCATGGTTTCCCACTTATCATCTTCTTGGAACCATGTAAAATACCTGTAATACAAATATTTTATATATAAATTCTCATATAAAAAGTAATCATACTTTTATATAAAAAAGATACTGACCCCGCACACACATCTTCCCAAGTGTTATTATTTGCTACTATGTTCTTCACATCTCTCTCGATATCTCTAATCTACAATTAAGTACACAATTAAATGCAATTAAAAAATGATTCATAATGATACCTTACATAAATGAATATTACATAATAATTATGAGTAATTAAGATTGTTAGAAAGATTTTTTTTATCTAGCGTACACATCTAGTTTAATTTAAAAGAAAAATCCACGCGATTATCTTGATGATTAATGACTGTTAATCGACTTTTTATCTTAAAAGTATCTTAACCCTTCGTGGTCACACTTATCACAGTTTCATAATGGTTAATCGACTGCCGTATTTACAGTTTTCATTATTTTGACTTAAAAAAATTACTGAACCTCCTTGAAATGTTGTAAAATCTACCGCAATATTAATTTTGTTAATTATTTAATATTATCATATTGAAAAAAAATCGTAAAAATTAAGCTTTTGGAGTGAGTGTAATTCTGCTTTGAAAAATTTTTGGGGTCATGCTGACCCCATAGGGATCACGAAGGGTTAAAATGTAATAAGGAAGTTTTATTGGCTCAATTTCGCAATGAACAAATGTGCTGACAATTAATTTAAACTATCGCGGAGAGAAGTGTGCATTAATGTGGAAAAGAACCTTCGCTGATACTCGTATAATTCATGATCGCCTATGTACCGATCGCAGCACTTCGGGATCCAGCACGTTGGGAGCAGTGATGATGAGACTTTCGGGCCTGAGATCGTCTCGGAAATTCTCCTTCACCCATGCAGCATCCTTGCGAAGTACAGAACCGATTGGTATATAGAGTTCGACTTCGTCAATCTCCTCCCTCCAGAGTAACAGTCCGAGACCACATATGAGATTTAGGCATAGAGAAATTATTAGCCAAAGCCATGGTTTTGTGGCTATACTTAATCCGATCCTGAAAAATACACGAAAATAAAGAAAGTGGAAAATAATTAAATTAAAAATTAATGCACAACACATCGAACAATTGTAAAAATTTAACACGACGAATGTCTATGTGCGTACGTTAGTAACACAACAGAGAGAATAAATAAATAAAAATAAATTTAATACGTCAACTTCGTATATTCGAAAATGCTGTTATAAACTTGGACGCAACTTGGACAGCTAGATACTAGATACTCTACACATCAAATATAAATTCAATCTATGATCAATATGATTGTCAGATAATGGCAACCGATAAATCGACTAACGCCGGGGGCAATGGTCTCTGAATTATGCAAGATGGTAAAACACATCATCAGGTTTTGCTGATCTAACGTAATATGATTTTAACCGACGATATCTCTCCCTTTTTATTCCTACTGAAAATAAAATATTTGCTACTTGTTAATTTTCGCAATTTTGTTGATTTTTTTTTTTAATTTATTATACGTAGGTATGTGACAATTTATATGTTGCTCGATGTTTGTAAAAAACTGAAGATTTTGAAATTGGGTTTTGCTTGCGGCTTATCGCAAATTAGACGCATTCAAGGTGACTTCAGGATTGTAGGTACGCAATCAGATAGTTCTCAGTCGGCATGAAACCTAATTTCTTCTTCCGCTATAATCTAGGATAATGATAATGAGAGAACATTAAGACGTCTAAAAAACGTTTTAAGATTTTTCAGTTTTATAAAGTTATCAGACGCTTTTAAAACGCCACATACGTGTTGTTATCTGATTGTAAGAAGCTATTAATTAATCGCTAATTAGAGATGAGGCAGATATGCACCGTCGCACGAATGAATAGAACTCTTCAGATTGTTTTGCATTGCCGTGTATAAATGACAGAATTCAATGTCTTTGACATTCTCAGACACGCTACTTCGAAGAACACGCAACAAAGCTTGAAGAAATTATCTAACTCGATGCACGTTAAGAATTAACGGTTACCATGATGAAATCCGTTATGACTGAGGCTATACACTATATATAGATGAAAAAGATGTGTGAAAAAATAAAAGCAAAATACAAAAGACACTTGGACAATTATTGTTAATAGTTTTTGAGTGAAATTACATATACATCGAGGATGGTTGCCTGAACAGCAGCTGTAGTACATTTTCAATAAAGTTATTTAAAAATTAACTCATCTAAAAAAAACGTAGGATTTACATAAAGATTAATAACACTTGAGATTTCGCAAAGCAACGTTGCTCGGGAATACTTGCCAAATTTCTAACGCTATTTATAATTTCTATCTAATTTCTTCTCATAATAATTTAATAATTATACATTTAATTCTGCTGCACGTTATTTTAGCATTTTATATAACGTGTTCGTTCGGTGCTGTTCTTACTGTTCTGCTCAATACTAAATTCGAGAGTTTTAGCAACGTTAGCTTTCTTTTGAAGAATTTGTCGAAGCCGTTTTTTTTTCCAAGGCGGGTTTGCTCGGACGAAAGTTCGAGTTTTATTTCCGTCACATTCCTGTGGAATTCGCTCGATTGATGACGAACAATATTAATCGTGCGATCTACGTTGCGACATTGGCGATCGCGAAAATTGGCTGAAACCCGCGCTAACCCAGTTAATATGTACGATATCTCGTCATCTACTTCTCCCGTTTGGGACCGATTATCTCGATGTGTGTGACTCGAGAAATAGACACAGTGTCGCAAGTCGCAAGGCGATGAGATGAGCAATTCGAGCCTCGATAGCGTGTATAATTGTAATACGCCGAACGCGGCGATTATGTCGAGTCGAAATAATTTCTTTTTTAAACAGCATAAACATCAAATGCATCGAGATACGTGATAAGGATTATCGCGAATCGTATGAAAAATATGATCTTTTTTTTTTTAAGACAAACTTGGACCCGATCTTTTCTTTGTCTTTTCGATTCTCTTCGACAAGTCCGATAATGATAAGGATAAGAATTCTAAGCTCGCACCTGGCGTCGATAACGTCAGGGTATTCGTCAAAAGATAGCCCTTTAAGGTAATCATACACGTGACCGTGTCATATTACGCACCGATCGTATTTCTACTATATCGCGGACTCTTTTCTTCCTCCGTTTACATCGGATCGATGAAGAGAGTAAGCGCGGTAGCGGCGCACGCTTATCTCGAGGAGCTATCTCACGCGACGTTTGTGTTTATTTTTGATAATGGCGTATAATTATGCGCGCGTAGGGGAGGGATCTTTCCGTCGCGCGAAATCGGCGACACGTAAGAGATCGCGCCGTTTTCCTCCGTCTCGACACGTATACGGCGGCCTTCCGATGCGCGCGTAAAAAGTCTATCGCACAATACAAAGGAGCAAGCAATAGGAACTGGGAATGACACGGGCAACAGAAATTAACTCCATTTCAACTTGTAATAAAACTGAAAAACTGTGACCGGGGTCAGGTACGGGCGATAGAGAACTAGCCCTATTCGCTCCAACCATGCCTTTCGTGTCCCACGAATTTCTAACAGTCGTTTGTTCCGGAAAACAAATGATCGTGGGAGAATCTCCTCCACGCCGGAAAAAAGTTATTGTGGCAGGGAACCTCAGGTAAAAATTTCAAAGTCCTAGCTCATTTACTCTCGAAACGGGGAACAATCAAAATCTCGGTGGGACACGAAAGTGCATGGTTGGAGGATTACGTCAGTGTTGTGTGAAAGGTAAATGAGCATTTTTTCGATAAAAATGTATTTTTGTGTATAATTTAACCATATTTAAAATATTTTTGTCGTTAAAAAAAAAATTTAACATTCCACAGAGGTCTATTATGGCTCAAAGGCAGGTGGAAGAGGTGGGGAGGAACTACGATTATTAAAAAAAAATTAATTTTTTTACATAAAAAATATCTGTCACACTTCAAATTCGCCTTTTCTTATTCAAAAATTCTTTTTCTAGCATTCTTTAAGTCCTTAAAGTCCTTCTGTACCATTTAAAAATTACCAAATTTGCGGCGACAAAATTAAGTATTCCTATTTAATTAATAATTATCTCATATTTTTTTTCTCATTTGCACTACTTTTAGCTTTAATTTGCGTTTTGGTTCATTAAGCTTCGTCAATTTGTTCGTGAGTTATGATTTTTTAAGTAAAACGAGTCGTAACGTGTGTTTGTCAACATATAATTGTTGTAAAAAAATATTTAAATAAATTATTTCCAAATGTTCTTTACATTGATTTTTAGTCGAAGGTACAAAGATATTATAATAATTTTTGGGGAATTTTTCAAAGCTATTAACATTATAAAAAACACGTGGGACTCGAAAGTGCATGGTTGGAGGATTATTGGGGCGAAAAAAACGTTGAAGTGAATAGGACTAGAAATCCAACGCGTCAAAAAAATTCCGTTTCTATCGCCTATTTCATATTCTATTGCGTCGATACGCAGTTTTTGGTAAGTTGAAACACGGTTATTTCTGTTGCCCGGCATATTCCTTATACCTTTGTATACCGCGTGACAGAGGCTTACAACGCAACACCGGCGAGAATCGTCGTCGCGGACGAAGCGTACTACCTATCGGCGAAAGACTATATTTTCTGTCGCATATATTATAGAGAGAGAATCGATGAGTCACGCGTGCGTCGGGGATTCAGAGATTAGGGGAACAGACAAAGGTTTCCTGTCAAAGAATAAGGCCTTCTCGGAGAAAGTAAAACGAGCGCGGCCTTGAACTCACTCAAGGTCTCGCCGACGTTTCTCACGAGGGTCTCTCTCTCCCTTCGATCATGATCAGTCTAATTTATTATCTCGCGTTTGCTCCCCGTCGATCCATCGTGAGCGGAAAACAATGATGGCGTGCAATAATACGGGAATGCAAATATTAGGAACAGATATCAGTGATGTACATATCATTATTACGTCAATTTGTATTTTATACGTGTCCTCAACGTATTAATTCGCGATTAATTCCGAATGAATCACGTACGTCGCGGCGTCGCCTTAAGCTACTTTCTTTTTTGTGCTCTCGAAGAGAACGCGTTTAAGCAACGCAGCAACATGAATGGTGCAAAATCTACAAATCCCACATAAACGGACAATAACAAAACAGATGTTATTTCGTAAGAAAACATGACGCACGGATCGTAAGATCAAAGCTCCCCTTTTGTTCGCAGTATAATGCGGATCTCGAGATCTATAATGTATGTTTGTGTTTGTCTAGGCTTTTATCTGACTGACCTATCTGACAATGAGTATTCCGAGCGAGCCGCCGTCATTCGTTATTCATGCGAGTCCTGTCACTCGCGGTGTCAATGTGATGTCACCCGTCGGACATCGATCTCTACTTTCAACCGGAGTCTTCGGTTTTCAATACCGCGTGATACCTCGCCGCGCCGTCATACGCATTATCATATAGGCGTTCGCGTGCAGTTAAACGTCAAGGAGGAAAAGGACTCTCCTCTATCGCTTTCTACACTCGAATCTCTTTCCTCTTTCTCCCCGCGGAGTTTCGTTACACGGCCGTTTCCTTTTCAATCACGGAAAGTGCAGCCAAGTGCGAACAGCTTGGCGTGCGTCACCGTGCATCGTGCATCGTGCATTCAAGCGAGAAACACACAAGTTTTTCCTTTCGCGTTTATACGAAGCTCGGCTTCGCAACAACGCGACGTGCTCGAACGGAACGGGGAAAGAGAACGAAATGCGTCACGAGATTGGGCAGATATATAGACAAACGGCAAACAAGATGTCTAAACGCGGAATTCTAAACTCGGAGCGGAGCCTACCAATAAATAGACGTGGAGCGCGATATAAACAATAGCCGCGAACGGTCGGGGTCGGGAATCGAGCGGCGTTCTCCCCGTTCCCCTCCCGCTCGTTGCACGCGCTATTACCGCACCCGGGCTCCGGGCAGCGGGCTCTTCCGGTGTTCCGGTAGAGCGAACGGGAGAGGCAGGGGACAAGGGGGACAGGGGAAAAGGAAAGGAACGATTTCGCACTTCCGCGCTCCGCGCACTCACCGGTGAAATATCCGGTCGGAATTGAAGTGAAAGTCGAGCAGCAGCTCCTTGCAGCGGGCCCACGTGACGGCGATCGATCCTCGTCGGCGCGGGTGCTCGTCCTCGTCGTTGGCGGCCTCCGTCATCGTCGTCGTCGCCGCCGCTGCCGCCGCCGCCGTCGCTCGGCCGTCGACGTGCATCTCCATTTCGGCGATGCTCGCTGCCGCGTGCTCGGTTGTTGACTGGCGCTCCCGCGGCTGGCTTTGTTGCTTTGTTGCCTGACCAACCGACCGACCGACCGACCGACCAACTGACTGGCCACAGCGCCAGCCGCCAGCCGACCCACGCGAGCCGCGATTCGAGCGTGCGTGCGAGCGAGCGAATTCGCGGCGCTCGCGGTAGCACCGAATTCGCGCGCGCGATGCACGTGCACGTGCTGGAAGGCTGGAACTGCTACTCAGCTACAGTTAAGTACTGTATTGGCCTGTATGCGCTATGCAGCTGTATGCAGCTGCGGATGCGCGACGCCGACGCGGACGTGTGCCGCGGTGCGGTCGCGTCGCGACGGCCGCGGGTCGACGATAACCACCCCGATTCACATCCCGCGAGACGGTATATCGCGCGCGCGAAAATGATCACGGTGGGAGAGTGATGACGGGATGCACCGCGGCTTTTGATCTACCGGCGCAATCTATATTGAGCGAACTGCGAACGACGTATCGCGCTCCCTTTCTCTCTCTCTCTCGAACGTCGCTGACGGAGTGCCTGACGTTCCTCGACCTGCGCGGGGAACTCGTCGTTACGTAACGACAAGCTCGGGAAGATACCCGGACGTCCGGAGGCTTTTGTTTTTCGGCTCCCGTCGCGATGGGCAGATAGTTGGATAATTTCCAAAACGAATGGAACGTTCCGTTTGAGATTTCGATGAACGAGATTCGCGCCCGCCGTATACACCAACTGTAAAAAAATTTTGTAAAATTACAACTATTATAGTGGGTAATTTTGAGACCCACTATAATAGTTGTAATTTTACAAAATTACAGTACGAAAGGAAAAAGTAATTTTGTATTACAATTACACAAATTAAGAATGTGTGGAAATTTACACCTATTATAGTGGGTCTCAAATTACCCACTATAATAGTTGTAAATTTTACAAGAATTTTTTACAGCCGCGCTTTCCAAAAAGAATCGTCCGAATCGTCTCCTCCGAAACACATACGACGCGACGCGACGCCTCCGTCGAGGACGCACCGTCGCCGTCGAATCGAACCGAATTACTGAATCGAATTGGATCATTTGGATCGCGCTCAGGTACCTTCATGGTCCCGCGAGCACCGTGATCGCTCGTGCACATCACACCGTACATACACACCGTCACGTCGTGAACCGTGCATGGTTAAAGCGCCGATGTGGCGTCGATCACGATCACGACTGCCGATCGACGTGCCGTGATGCGGGTGATGCCGTTAGACTGCAAACCGACGACTATAGTTCCCTATTGTAACTTATCGCTCGGCGGCTAAAGCGCGGCTCACCTCGGCTCACCTCGCGACGGTGAAAAGCGAGACCTGCGATTACAACGCTGAAAAATGCGTAGTATCGCACAAACATATGTATACGTGTAAGATAAAATCATGTCACGTCACGCGATAGGATTGTTTACGCGTGGCATGCGTTATCTTCTCAATAGTTGAAGATAACGAGATGAAGCATCAGCGGTATCGCTAATATTGTGGAATATCTCCGGCGCTCGGTGCGCCTGCACCGGACGGGACGGTGCACGCGCACCGAGGACTATCAAACGTAGTACGCTTGCCGCCGAACGCACGGGGCCAACGGGTGGCAGTTGGCACAGGTGCGCAAGTGCTCGGAAGTGAAAAGTATAGGTGAATAGGTTTATTGCGGCCTTGGCACGAGAGCTGAAATCAAATCAAACGCAGATTTTTCAACATTGCGCGCTTATAGCGCGCGAGATAACAAAAACGTTGTTAGGACGGCGTAAAAGTCAACGCCGCGTTATCGAAATCTTTCTCAAGTTTTCTCTCTCCAGTTTAATTAGCCTTCGATTACGTCTTATTCCCCGTTATTTTTTAAGTTTAATGGAAAGAAATTGATTAACTTTCGAGAGAAATCTGTGACCTCAGGTTCTCGATCTTGTCGATGCCCTTGATTTTGTCGTACAATTTAATTGCGACGTACTTATCGAAACGACCGAGCTATCGGGAGGATAATTCTGGCGTGTGTTGAGAATAGCGTATATCGCAAATTCACGTCACGCAGAATAAGCGCGACGGGTTGTTTTCACTGAGTGCACGTGTACCGAAAGCATCGTGCGGTCGGTCGTCTTCGAGTGCTTATAACGTCCACGAAAATTGTTTACGATGCGAAGAGTCATTAATTTTTATTACATCTCCTTTTTTCCGTTCTTCGATTCGAGCACTGTAATCGAAACGGAATAAGCGGGTTTGCCAGGACATATGCGAGGATAAAGAGGGCATATTATACAGATGAAATTTAAAACGCGGGTAAACAGAAATTACAAGTTGCATCAGTTTGGCAAAAAACTTGCGCACCGCGTACAAATGACGCAATTTCAACTCGTGATCAAAACTTGCGTATTACGTAGTCCTACGAGTTGATCACACGTGTATGTAGAATATTTGCAGACGCGAAGTGACTATAATTACGTGCCTTCACGTAATTTAGAAGTAGTAATTTAACCCTTAACCCGCAAACGTTTTTTTGGCACCTTTACGCCGCAAACCTGGGTCATGACGTTTTTTTAAGTGTTAAAGGGCTGCAAAAAAAATCTGAAAAAATTCATGAAGGTGTTTCAAAGCTTCACTTTGAAATATCAATCATAAAATTATAAACAATTTAATTTTTTCACATAATTTGTATTCAAAAGTTACAACTACGTTTGATTTTCACCCGGACGAAAACGATCCAGGTTTGCGGGTTAAGGGTTAAGGAAACGCCCTCTTTAATAGATCGTCCGGGAAGAAACGGTCGTCGTCAGCTCCGTTCGCCTCGAATGCTCTCTCGGTGCTCCGATTCTCGCGTTTTTCCGACGGCGAGGGAAACCCGTGTCTATATGCTCGTTACTTTACACTTTCCAAAATGTGGAAAGTGCGAGCGAGTAGGCGATTCGAGTGGAAATCGCCGTCAGCTTGGTTCATTGAGATCCAACCGGGCCGAGATAATCCCCGACGTCGGAAAGTTCGCGACCCTGTCACCGTTCATTCGAGCACTTATGATAAATCATTCGGATAAAAACCGGAGAAACTTACGCGACACGCCGCGCCGTTGTTGCGCAACAATCAGATGCACTCGATGCGTGCGAGCGCACTGACGCATCCGCGTTGCACGTTGCACCGGCGCGCGACGATTAATCATCGCTGATATTCCCACGAGTCCCGCGCCAAGATTCTACTCGCGAAGAATAGAGACGCGTCTCTCGCACTTTCCCTCGCGATCAACGAGAGAGGACTTTGCCCGCGGAACGATCTGTCGCAGAGATTTCGTGTAATTCCCCTCTTTTTTTTGGCAAAATTCCTAAGAAATCCAGAAAAGACCGTGATATTGTGGAATAAATAAAAATTATTAATATAAATATAAAATATAGTTATAAATGTGAATTAATAAAAATTTCAACTTACAATTTCACTGACAGAATCTAGGATTTTGCAAAATCATTAGTAAGATTGTTTGTTATATTTTTATTTATTCCACAATATCGCAGTTTTTTATGGACTCTCTAGGAAGTTAAAAAAATAAAGGAATTACCGAAATTCCTACGACAGATCCAAATCCTGGTCGCATCAAAAGTTACAGCTAATATTTGCTTCGCACTTGACAAAATCGGTTCCATTTCAAATGAGAGTCCCGAATTAATCTAATCTCTAATTCGGTTAATGTTTGCCTTTCGAGTTTAATTTCACGTATACGAACCAATTTTAATTCCGTTGGAATTTACCAGCATTGAACTTCTAATTCCAATCTTGCGTTTGCAATGTTTTACTGTGCGGAGTGACGTGAATAGTTCGCGACATCGCACGATTATGATTGTAATTACTCGTCGTGTAATCACAAGAAAAACACGATAAAAACTACGCGATTAAGATCGCCTCTGCGATATTTATGGAAAAAGGTAATAGAATGATACACTCGTATATCGATGAGCGAGCGCGAGATTGTCATCTTGAAGTTCGAGATCTTGTTTTTGCCACGTGATAATATTGTTCGCAGCTGGCTCCAAATAGACACGCGTATCGTTCAAGTGCGACTGTCCGTGAAGTTTACCTCGGACTGGTAATCAGCGGAAACATTAAAGTCAGGGTCGGATTAGTATTAGTCTCAATCGCGATGTTGGGCGACCGATTGGAATATATTATGTTTGACTGTAGCGCAATGTGTTTTGAGGTATACGGCACGGCCTCTTTAAAATCTCTCGTTCAGACTTTAAAGCGGACTATCGCATTTTGGTCCAGGTGCCGGCACCGCGGCGATCCGCCGAGGCCGCACGGCGATGAGCATCACGGGATTGACGAACGGTAACTTCAGCGATTTGTTTCTGCTGCCTTTCGACATTGTCGAGCTGGCTGGCTTTCAAGCGCGCCTCGACCTGGTACACTTAATAGTTAATCAATCACTTATATAGATCGCACCCTTGCAGGAAACAATTCTCTCGCATCTGGCAAATTGTTTGACTCCTTCCGGCGAGGGAAGAGGCTGAAATTTCGATTTCTTATTAATTGTGCACGCTGAAAGATTTTCTGCAGATTACATTTCATTCTGCAAATTGCACGCGCGTGAGAAAAAAAGGAAAAAACGGAGATAGGAAGCGGAATAAAATCACCTTCGAACAAAAAGAACGGAGAACGATCTTTATCTATTGCTATTTTCCAGGAAGAAGAAGAATGTGTTTATCTTCGATGGAACATACTTATTCAGCAACGCGTGTAATTTAGCATACATAAACGTAGAGATAGGGTTTAAGAGTTTAAAAGTTAAGACAAAAATTTGTAGAACATGTCTTATTTCTGTCATATCACATACGTGATTTCTTCTCCTCAAATTTAGTCGAGACCTTTAGTTTCTTTTACCAGCTCAATAATGATTCGAGAATTATATACATATATTTCTCCAGAGAAATGTACGTATGATCTTCGAGTAATTATTGATTGAGTAATTATCGATCAAATAAGAAAGGTCATAGACAATTCTGGCAAACTAAAATTCAGTCGCATAATATCGACGATGACTTTTCTCAATATTTAAAAGACCGTTTTGTACATTACATCATTCTCAGATTACAACGTAGAAGAATATAATTCTTCACAGAAAAATACAATTTAATCTCTGGATTAAGCTACAGAAACGCATATCCAAAAATATGCATATTATGCAGATATGCAGATTTTCAGTCTTCGAGAAGCCACCGCAAATAGCAGCATCCCTGACACTTCGCTGCAAAACATTTCGCACGCGTGGGTAATATCTTGTCCCTATGCGGTGAAGTCCCATTAATACGAGGACACCTGCATCGGTGACGATAATTCGCATCTGTCCCCGTTCACGACGTTTATGGAGGCTAAACAAATCTCGCCGGGTCAACCGGGTCCGCCTGAGCCTGGCTTCAGGGGGGGGTCAAATAAGCGAATTGCGTTCGAGCTCCGTGCCCCTAAGTAGGTCTTTAGCCGTGGAGGCAGGAGGACCGTTATCCGACTCGCGACCTTCGGCAAACAATTCGTCTGCGACCGTTTTGTCCTTGCGCAACGATCGTGCGCTTCACGGCACCGCCGTCGACCGGATCTCGCGGCACACTGCACTCATCCAGCTTCCCGTGCTCTTCGTCAGTCAGAGCGAATCGATCCGAAGGCGCGATTATCACGTTACGCCCTATTGACTCGGAGAACGATCGTTAGATCGTCAAGATCGTGGAAGATCGGCCTAGTCAATTTCGAGGAACCTGCGCGCGGTGATCGACGAATAACTGAACTTCATTCTTATGCCGCGGCACTCGCTCATCCTATTATGCAAATCCTGCGGTAATAATCGAAAGATACAGTGCGTGACACAGTATTAGAGTCCATCTTAATCTCGTGAAAATGAAATTTAGGTCAATTCTGTCGAATCTCTATAGAAGAGCGGATCAAGATCTAACAATTGATGGATCCGATTAATCTAATTTAGGTTAATAAAATGGCAAATTTCTTATTTCAACCTTGGAAATATTCTCTTTTTTTTCTCCTTCCCCCTTTTTTATTCATTCCTTTCTCCTGAAAAGGAACTATCGTCTAGAGAAGGAAGAAATCGCGAAGATGGCCTTCGCGATCGCATTATCATCTGCATAGATAATATGTAAATAAACTATCATCGCCTACTGCACGGATTGCCGCTCTCACCAGCATCCTTTTCCGGAAATACTAGCTGGTCGACCGGCCGGTCGGTTAACCTTGGAATGTTTTGGGGATATCCGATGACTCTCCCGGTTCCTTCGTTTTGGCCCGATCGGAACCGGTCCTCCTACGGACGAGCGGCTAGGTAATTTATGAGGTAAACCAGCGATTGCCGACGCGGCCAAGGTGTCAAGGTAGGGAGTTCTCTCCCGGAGCGAAGTGAATGCCTTTCCCGGCCGGTTGGTCCCGGCGCGGCATCTCAGTACTCCTGGTGCCGCACCAACCGATGGGACTTGTCGTTTTCTCGCGCGCGGTCGCGATCAAGAAGGGCGAAGGTACGTTCGTTCGGCCGAGCTGGTCAAGTCCAACGATCAACGGGCTGATCGGCCGGTCGCGAAACGAATTATCGTCCTAAGCTAAAGAAAAATCGAGCATTAATTCCGAGAATTCTCAAATAAATCAGATATTCGGATACCTCTCATCAATTGTGCTCATTTATCGTATATAAATGACCACTCCAACGTCATATACATATACACGTATCTCAGTGGGTTAAAAGAAATAAAATATGCGCATATCGTATGTAAAGTTTGAATTTTTGTTAAAAAAATTTGGATGATTAATTCTTTATCAATCGTAATCTGCAAAAAATATTCGAATAAGTTTGGAAATTATTTCACGCCCTGCGATCGTCAATGAACCGTGTAGTAGTGACGTTATTTTTTCTGAATGTAGAATATAGTGTATGAAGAGCGTGCCAGATAAATCGAGTGCATATCCGAGAGCTTCCACATCAGGAATAAATGTAGTGAAGTGGAATTGATAACTCGCTCGTGCTTATTCCAGGAACTGTGTGAGAAAATTAACTTCTAATTTAATAATTAATAATACAATAAAAAATGCGATGTAATGCAATCATAATTATAATGATATAACGAGTACGTGGCATTAATTATGCCAACGTGTTACGTGTCAGGATTGTTCATGAGAATCGGAGATCTGAGAATTAAAAAAACAATATGAATTTTTTGCAATCGGAATATTCCAATCATTACAGAAAATACGCAAAGTTACGTAAAATATTCACAATCGCAATTTAGCGCGTTTCTTAATATCTCTTAATATTCGCTTTATCATTTAATTTCTCTTTCTGTATTAATAATATTTTTGTCATCCATTGAATTTCAAATAAGACGAATAAATTAAAGCAATGAGACACATGATATGTCTAGCTAAATAAATGTTTCAATCCATCACAAGACATAATATTGCTTTTAATGTCAATCAGACGGAAATGAAATATTAAATATTCACGGATATGGCTATTGATAATTGAAGAGTTATTTGGTGTTATTTATAATCACAGACTCGACCTTAGATCGAAAGTAGGGTGAATGAATGGAATGTCTCTCGATATGTTGCCTATCGAGAGACGCCCGATCGAATTTGAGGTCAATCGTAATAATTCAAGTGGATATGGGTGCATTGAATTTCGGTCGTACACTGAATTCCCAATAGAATTAACGGTTTTAGAAAGCCGTGAAACAACCGATGGAACAGGAATCGGCGCTAGGAATGACCATAAAGTCGCAGAACGATTTGCGTCAGAATGTCAGAAACCAATTTACAAACGGACACTCGCGCAGAAAGCTTATCTTCTCCTGTCGTTATTTGTAACAGTAAAACTGAATTATTAATGCGCAATAATAATAAATGTATTTAAAAATTAAAATAGATTGATCTTGGGTTGCAAAAGAAGGCATAATTGAATCGGTGTTTGGGAAGAGATTAATTCTTGTGTTAGAGATTGGTCTCTACGTCTCTTTTATATCTTTTAGATATTTCTGCTGTCCGAACAGTTATTAAGTAGAATCGAATAAGATGACTGAAAGTTTTTACACATGCACATGTGCTATAATGACTTGGCTGATTTAGCGAACAATTAGCGGATTTGTCGCGAGGCAACTTGCAATTGTCATGTTTTGCTAACGGCGCACGTCCAGATTCGGAAAAAGTAGGTAATTCTCGACAATGTAAATGATGTCGTGAATAATGCCGCACTTCTCAACATCGTCAACAAGGTAGAGGAATAAATCGAGCGAAAAATAGAGAAATCGATAGAGATTTGTCGAGTCAGAAATCTTTAACTACCTTTATTAAATATAAAGTAGCGGATAATCGAGCGGAAGAGTAAAAAAAGAGCACATATCGCGCTCTCTAACATGACGCAGCAGTCGCATATGCTCGAGCACGTCGCATCGGATAAACTTGAGGCCCAAATACTCTCTCTTGTCGAGGTGTGGGCCAGTACGCACGTGACTAACATGCTCGTGTTGTTCGTCACTCTCTCGTGAAACGGAACGGCTTTTCCCTTCCGTTTCGGGGTCGCGAGTACTTTCGATGCCTCGTATCTCGACTTCCTGACCGAATGTTTCCATCATTTTAAAAATCCACGCGATACGCAATGTTAATTTCACGTCTGGTTTTTTTCTGTAACATCATCTTAATATTCCAGAGCTCCGGTGTATAATTTCGTTATTAGAAATCTGATAGAATTTTAAACATCCGCTAAATTTTACGAGTCTCATAAAAGTTTGACAAAATGAGACATCAGGGCAAATCAGGGTTAATTAAATTCTCGCAAGTCATTGAAATCGTGCATTTTGTTAGTCGCTCTTCGCCTCGTGACCGACGAAAGTGTCACGCCGTCAACGATTTATGAATGCATGTAGCGCATCATAATGCATGTTTACGGTCCTCGATCTATCTCTTCGAGTGGTCGCATCTGTCGAATCCGGTTGTTAAATGATAGCCGCCGCAAATAATGGCAAAGGACTTTGGCGAAATTGCCGCGAGGAGAGACATTCTCCCGTCCCGTTCCACTTACATCGTTCTTACGCGACGAGTAAAAGCACAGCGATCGAAAGGAACGCGGGCATTTAAAGACAATCGTCATTATGTACTCGCGAAGCTGCATCCCGCGAGCACCATTTCTTCCCTCTCCCGTTATGACTAAAAATCCCACGTTCCGCTAGAATAGCGGCAGTCGGACTGCCGCCTTTCTTGACCGAGAAATGTCGTCGTTAAAATTTACTATGAGAAATTTCGTCGCTAACAAAGTCTCGCCGAGATATAATAACGGTTAGAGATACCCGTTATAGCAAATTTGGCGACGAAACTACTATTAGATTTCTCGCATTTTGCCGTCTCCGACATTTCAAATTATCTTTATCTTTCCTTTCCAGAATCATGATCAGGCTCGCAATCCTCCTCGTGCTCGCGATCGACCTGGCGAAGGGCCAGCTCAACTACGAGGGAAATCCATACACGGAGTTCACCGAGTATATCGCGGAGGAAAGCAATCTTTCCGAGAGGTCTGCCAGGAAAAATGACGTCTCAATTGACGTGTCCAACCCCGTGGTCTCGTCCCGTCCTCAGAAGCTGTATCCCGTTGCAGAGCCCGAAAGCGATGGGCGCTCACAGCAAGAGGCGGAAACCAATGATCTTCTTAAATCACAGATTTCGTCTTCGGTCCAGACTCTCCAATCGGACACGTCCGCTCGGCAGTTCCAAGACTCTTCCGGGAATTCGCCGATCAGCCAAGCGGAGGTCGCGCTGAACACGTTCTTGAACTCCAGGACACCCGCGGAATCTCGCTTGTCTCTCGATCACTATCTCCGCAGTCAACAGTCGCCGGAGGCTCAATTACGATCTTCGGACGCGATCATCGGTCAGGAATCATCGAAGCCGATCGAGCCTCTCAACCCTCAACCTCAACCTCAACTGATCTCTCACGTTGAACAACAGCAACAGTTGCTGGTCCCTCAGGTGAACCAGCAACAAGTGCAACTGACATCGCAAGTGGACCAGGTTAAGATAGTGCCGCAGGCTGATCTACGGCAACAATTATTGCCGTCTGCTGACCAGACTTATGGCTACGTGAGACAACCATCCGTGGTACAGGCGGTACAGCCCGTGATCAGAACACCCGCGGGAGTTGTCCTGGGACAGAAGATGCTGCAGCCAGTGCCACTCGTGCCTGCCTTCCAAGCTAGGAACGACATGATAACGCCGGCGATGTGGCGGGAAAGAATGAGAAGAATACGCGGAAAACCGTACCCCTTTGCACAATCAAGGATAGCACCGGCATTGTACCAAGGACCAATTGCAGGTGAGAAAACATATCTCAGAGAGGAAACGCATGATAGATTGTTCGACGAGATATTACAAGTAATCTTCAACACGAGAGAATAACAATTTTTTTACGAGTTGTGACGTAAAAAAGTTTTGTCTCCTCGATGGAAGACCTTATCGGGCATCTATTATTCACATTTTTTTTCCTGAGAAATAATGGTTCTTTATTTACACCAAAATCGCGTTATTATTATTCAAGTTATTCTGCCTCACGTCTAAAAATATTCGCTTTAAATGCGTGAACATTGGTCTGGTAGAAGTATGACCTTTAACTTGATGCTGCAAGAATGCACGTTACGTCATATATTTTGAATGGATTTATGCAGAAAGAAAGACCGAATAAACACTTCATGGCAATATATCATCTCTTTTTTTAAATTGATTTATACGTTCATGAATTAAATCTACATAAATACAGCTAATGTGAGAATCCGAGTTCATCTTCGATCATATATCATAATTCACTTATTCGAAAGTCAGCATTTTTAGACACGGCATATATATAGATGAGATGATTAACTACACGATCAACTGATAACTTTTCCTTTCAAAAGCGACGTATAGCGCATACTATTTTCACTCCGTCAGCATTTACGCATGTTGCAAAATAGACACATGTAGAATACACTTATTGTTAGATAATAATATGTCGCGAATAAATTATATAACTTTCTTCCGTTTAATAAAATTATAATCGCCTTCTGGATATCTCAGTTCCTTTCAAGGCCAAGGGTCCGGTGGGTCCGGTGGAGGTGATCTACACAAAACCACCGGGTTTCCATCGAGGACCGCCCATCCTCAGTAACCCACCGGTTCCCTACGAGGACGCGAGCGCCTGGTTCCCCGACGCTGATCAGCCGCCCTCCCAGAAGGACGTCTATTATTCGCAGTTGTACGCGCAGTCCTACGATCCTCACTATTACAATTACATCGCCGCGACCGGTAAAATCCGGCCGTATCTGTATGGGAAGATAGGCAAGTATAAGGAGGAGCAGAACGACGGCATCTGGTCGGAGCTCTATCGCGGCTTCAAAAAGCACGGCCTGAGAAATATCATGACGCCGACCTTCTTGCTGGGCATGACGCTACCAGTGGTGACCCTGATGCTCTCCGCCCTCGTGCAAAAGCGGTCCATCTCGCGCTCCGACGACGCGAGGGATTTGAATCAAGAGGACGCTCTGCAAGAATACCTCGAAAGACTGCAGAGAGCGATGGAATGTTACTCCGGTAGGAATTCCCGAGACGCGAAGCTAGACGGATGCTAGAATCAAGGATGTCCTGATGCTAAATGAGTAACTCGTGCCGGATAACGCGTGAAAAAGTAGCCCGTTCGGCATTGAGAGAGTTGCATTAGTAATTCAAGTAACGATAAATGTAAAAATTTGAAATATTTTTAGTATTCAAACTATTTATACATTTTATATTTTTGATATTAAAATATATACGGACTCTTTATGTCTGCGCATCATCTTGCACTTCCATTTCACTCAACGACAATCAGATGTGATCGTTTGATTCTGAGATTCGTTTATTTAATGCGACGTTACGTCTAATTTAAAGTAAGGTAATTCTCGCCGCGTTTTGGAATAAACGCACGGCGAGAATAAGAATTTTTGTACTTAAATTATGCTAAAGGTAATACTCTTAAAATCGCGTGTGCTTTGTAGACATAATCACGTAATTGCATTTGAGCGGAGACTGGTCATGTTGATCAAGTACGATAGTGTGAACATATATGCACGAGATCTGTTCAAAAACTTCTCGAACTTTGTCTTTATAATTTTTGGGGGTATTACAACTTATTCTCAACCTCATTCGTCTGCGAATGTCTTCAAATGTCGATCCTTTAGCCTTTCACGGATTTTATTTTTAAAAGGAGAAAGTTTACGAAAGCCACGTCGAAAAAATGTCAGAAGAAAAAAAGCCTGAATTGTAGAAAGACAATTCATAGTTCTTTCACCACAACGCGATCGCACACGCAATCGCTGCTGATTCGTCACTTCTGCACCAAACAAAGATGATTGTGTTTCCTCACCCTTTCTACTCACGACCTGACTCTCGTGGACTTATTTCTTTTCTTAAAATTGAAATCCACGTTGAAAGACCGAAGATTCGACACAATTGAAGACGTCAAAGAAAATTCGCAGGCGGAATTACGTGAGCCTGAAAAACGCGTACAGAGACTGTTTCCAGAAGTAGAAATGGCGTTAAGAGTATCATCAATCGAGAAAGAACGTATTTCGAAGGAAATAGGACTGAATAAGTTGTAAGTAAATCACCAAAAATTATAAAGTTCTTGGGAACTTTTTGAATAGATCTCATATATATGTATAACGTTCTTAAAAACGCCACGTAAATGTAACGTTTCAAGAATATCGAAAACTGCATAACTTTGTAAAGCAATTAAATTACGCCATACGAATTGCAACGTACAATTAAACAGAAGCAATGCGTTGTAATTTTAACGCGAATTAAAAATAAAACATGCGTTTCAGAGTAATTTATCTCAATCGAAAAGGAAGGTTTTAAGCAGATATTTTAATTTCCATACATTTAAATGATCGCTTCCGGCGGAAAACAGTAGAAAAACGACGTTTTGCACGCGCGACTCATATTATCTCCGCGCTACTGTACGCGATCACTGTAACACAAATCTAATGACACGCGAGCGTTCTCGCGATGTGTCATTAGTGCATTATGCAAGACTCACGTCTAATAAAAAAAAAGACCTACGTCTCCCTCCTGTCTGTCGCAAGTCATCAGTTGCTGTGCGCTAAAATAAAAAGGAGGAAAGATAAAAACTACTAAGGCTGCTCTTCCGGGTTAAATTTAGAAGAATTAAATAGCGAAAGGCAAGCCAGACTTGCCGATGTTACTGCATCAAACACTGTGTATATATATATAACATGTATCTAATATACAAAAATTATACATAATACACACTCGCGTTAATTAAAACACATACTGTGCGTACATTGTTTACTGTTCCTGGCGCAACGAACATTTCCCACATTATCCATCATCCCCGGAAACCGAACGCGGATATCTCTTTTTTTTTTTAAGAAAAGGAAAAGAAGGAAGCACGAGATAGTGTGAAATCTTCGTGAGAACTAAACTTTCGCGTTTCAATCATCGTTGCACCTGTTCGTCGGATAAAGATAAATCGAAGGGAAGAAGGAACTAATTATCGCTCCTACAATATTAATTATTTTTTCTCTTGCGTAAATGCGACGTCCCTCGTTTTGCAAAGATCTGCGGATCATGAATAATTGAGTTATTCGTTGGCAGAGACGAAACAGAAGTGTGATTTACCTCTCCACCCTGCGATGCAGCGATGCAGCTGAATGCGAAGCGCGACTGGAACGACTTCGAATTCTAATCTCAAACGCGCGTTGCAACCTACGCTTTTTATCGCGTACGGACGCCCGTCTAATTTACGAGCTTATTAATATATTAGTTCAGGCTAACGTAATTGACCTTGTTGTTAAATTGCTAATCCGGCATCGCTCGCTGGAATTGCTATATATATAAACGTTCAAGTTGTCGCGTCTGCTGGAAAATATGTCATACAAGTTTCAGAGTGCATTCTTTTATACATTATGCAACGTGCGTATTAAAAAGAAAAAAATAAAAGTCGTGATCTATGCAGGAAAATTTATCGTAATAAAAAGTAATAATATTTATCGCAACAGTTTTAATTTCGATAGAAATTTGCGCATGTGTATAACTCATTGAATATTTCAAAGCGATATCTTTTTTGTTTGCCAGTCGCAAAACACATTTGTTATCTATTTCAGTGACAGTGTGACTATTAAATTGAGTTGTTCGTTTTAACTTGAAAATGTGACATGCTACTGAAACAATATGCAATTTAGTAAAGTATAGATATTGACAATAGAATCTATTTAGTTTTAATTCGCGGAGTTTTGTTACTGCCTTTTATATTTTATCAGTAGATACGAAAATATAATAAAAAATTAAATTATTAATTAATTAATAATTAAATGATATAATTAAATATTATAACACATAAACTAAAAATTATTTCTATGTATGCGATAACTGTGAAAATTTACGTAAGATCAATTGACAACATATAGAATAAATATATGCTACTTGTATAACGATGAGCTGTGTTCAGATTAGAGTTTAGAAAGTAATATACTAATCGGATCGTCGTATCGGGATTAAGCTGGTCATGCCGGTTATGCCAGTTCTGTCCGAGAAGAACGCGATATATTATGATACTTCCACGCAGCTCTCAATCTGGAACACTAAAAACCTGTCAGTATAAAGTGTGTAAACCGTTAATAATAAAATGTAGGTCGCGTGTACGGGTATCTGTTTTAATTAGCTAAACTAACAAAGTTGTCGAATAAAAAAAAATCTTTCTATCCTTTATGGCTCACAGTGTCCTTATTTTCATGAATCATAATTTCCAATTTTATATGAACATTAAATAGAATTATATGACTACTAAAAGTTAATATTATAACTAGTTCTATTGTTCTCGTAAGATGATTTATTAATTGAATAGTGTCAAATAATTTTTTTTTTTTTATTTTCTAAAAAATTTCTTGAAAAACTTTTCTTAAAATGTGATATTTGATATTTATTAATTTATAAGTATCATTTTTCGTTCTTATTTCTAAGTTGCAAGAATATGAAATCGAAATTTCGCAGAAATAAAATTTTGCATTTGAATGAATTGAATTAACCGTTACGGCTTCTAATTTTCATGGTTGATATCAGGTTGGGGAACGGACTTACTTATGCCGTATAAACTTACTTAGGCCGCCCGAATCGTTGCCAAATTGATTGCAATCGAATTATTTAATCGAACGTTTGATGGCTCAGCTCAAGGGTCATGAGACCCAGCCGTCGTGTTGTCTGTGGCATGAATAATTATATGCTGCTGACAAGGCCAGCGTGCAAATTGTGCATCGTACAAAGTAGGGTTTACACGAGATGAATACCGATCGCAAGTTTTGAAGAAATTAAACGTATCTAACGTGTATACGTTTAAATTTAAAACGATATTTCACGGAATTTCTTTGAGGATCACAAAGGCGGTGGGAGAAATAAACCAACCTGTGATTTATTAAAATAAATTCTAATTTGCTCCATAAAAGTCACAGAGTCTACATCATGAGAATTCTACATTTGATATAATTAGGAGATATAATATTGATATATTGCCCTCGATAAAACGCATTACTTTCTACACATATAATAACTGTCTTGAATATAAGAGAGATACACCACACTAAAGTATGTATTATCCATGTTTGTGAATAGGAGAAATATGTGTAATTATTAATGTGTATGGTATCAATTTATTAATATGTATAAGTATTAATTTATATATATACACTGGTGGATCCTGAGGGGGAGATAACCTCCCTCCTTCGAAATAAAAAAAAAATAAGTTTTGCTGAATCTGTTTAAAAAATCTGGGAAAGAATGGATTAAACGTTAAAGCAGAACCAGAAGTTTCACCACGTTCTCGTCGTTGATTCTGGAGTAAAAACTAAGCGTGATATATTAAGAAAAATATCAAACCAAATAATTTTACCGAATAATTTTGCCTCTCCCATTATCGACATCAAGATCCGCTACTGTATTCCATACGTATATAATATACATATACATATATAAAAATATATAAAAATTTTATAATTTTCAATATATATTTATATTTAAACGTAAATAAATATATATAATGATTTTAGAAAATAATTAAAGATTATATATGTGTGTATGTATTGTATGTATGTGTTTGTATTTAGTATAATGTATCTCTTTTTTTCGTTAACTATTAAGTGATGCTGGCGACAGAGGCAGAACTTTTATTAGCATGTGATCGTTGTAGCACTTTGACCGTTGCACGATACCTCATTGTCGCAAATGAATGATAAGCCGGTTTGTTCACGATGTTCATTTAAACCCTATTTAACTGGTCAGTCTTTGTCTCGACGGACATTAACGCATTGTTGGTGATTATATCTGATTTTATCATTGTGTCAAAATTGCGCTATATAAGGGCAAGTACAAAATATAAACGTGCGCTTTTATCTTCGGATTAGCTTGTCATTGATTCATGCAACTTTTATATACAAGCTGTCTCAGCACGCATGAATGGCACTTTAAGGATAAGTATTTCAGTTTAGAATCAATTAATTTTCAAATCGTTATTAATCATTAATTAATCATTGAACAATTTGTTCCTAAAATATTATTTACACATTTCGAGATCTTGTGCAAAAAGAAATAAATGAATCGAGAGAAGAATGGACAGGAATTTACTCTATAGAATTAAATTTCAGATCTTCAAAATTGAGAAGCGAATCCTACAATTCTTTAAAACGATCTTTTATAAATTTTACATACACCAGACTTTGCTTTCAAAAATTAACGATATAATTTCGCAGAATAAATTCTCGTCAATTGTTTCGAATTCATTCATTTTAGTACATTTATTTTCACGACCAAAGGCAACAATCTCTCTTAATCTTGGTCTGTTGCAGCAACAAAAGTCTTTCTCTATACTCTCTTTTTTTTTACTCACATTCGCTAACAAGCTGCATTTCAAGACTAGACCTGATTATACTATACATATATAATATGAAGAAAAAAAACCGAAATATTATGAAGTATAATCTATATGTTACTTTTAGTATAGATTATACTTTTGCATATAATGCTCGGAACGTAGTGTATGTTAGCTGCGAGTTTTAAGAGCAATTGAATCAAAATTATGCCTATTATTTACTCACTATAGGAGCGTTATACGTATCACTTTGCATATCTTGCATTGCTTTTGACTAAGAGAGGCGTAGAGCACAGTGCACTTTGCGAACAAAATACATTCAGCTCAGTTTACTGTACAACTACGGTATAATTATTATCTATAATAACACATGTGCTTAGAGGTGGTTCATGTACAATGTATCAAACCCTCTAATAAAATTTCAGTATTAAATAGCTATAAAATTATGTCTCGGACACATATCAGATTGTTGTCTGAACAAAGTTTCATTTTAATAGTCATAAATGTACTAAAATTCGTAAAAAAAATCCATTTTACACATGTGTATACATATACATATATATACACACACACGTGTATTTATCGTCTCAATATGTGTGTAACAATAATATAGCAATATCCTCTTTTTATTGTTCTATCTACAGTATAAATTAATCTGAATTTATTTCGTCTTCACCTAATTCTTTCCTATTGATATAGTTAATATAGTTCGCTGTAACGCGCTAAAATTCGTTTTTTTTTCTTTGTCAAGTAGGCAGTTTTAAAAAATCAGAAAGACATTGAAAAAGGAGCAAACTAAATATACTACACTTTCATAACGTATTATAGCCTCTCCTGCTATTTTCTGTTTCTCTGCTGCAAAATGTCATCTATGATGAAGGCTAACACTTTCTAAAAGATTATTTGCTATAATACTCACATTATCTTGCACATTCCCTCTCTTTGTCTCTTTCTCTCTCTTTCATTCTTTTTTTCTCCGACGATATAAGGATATGAATATCCCAAGGCTATCTATTATGCACTAACTTATTCAAACTTTTCTTCTTTAAACGCCAGATTGATAGCTTGCCCGACGTCCTTCACGATGAACGCCGGTTTACATAGGCCATCGTCGACCGGCAAGAAATCCCTAGGACTGTGTTCGGGTATAAACTTGGAATCTCGTTGATGCACACCAGTCTCGACTAAAATACTAATGCAGGCCTTCGCGCTGGGATCCCTCATGTTCTTTCCAAGGAGTTTCTCGAGACTACGGGACTTAGTACCTTCCCCGGACTCGTAACGGGATAAATACTTGTCGTACAGGTTCGCGCCGAAAATATCGGTATTGATATTGTCGCTGTAAAAATCATGCGTAAATTATTTTATATAATATATTATAATATAATATGTAAACAAAATATATTAACGCATTTAACAAATATTTCTGTTCGATACACACCCAATAGCATAAATTGTGTCGATATTGTCAATGCCAATGCTTCTGGCGTGATTAACGAGCATTTGATTGGCATGGTAATATGTAATCTCACTAGGTTTTCCGACTAGAGCAACGTATGTCATGTCTTTGCCTGTAACTTTCTTGTACAAGTTCTCAAGACACAATAAGAAAGCACCGTGGCCGTATCGCGGAATCGGCGCCTGCGACGCCCAAAGCAAATCCATGTTGCATGCCAACACTGGAATGTGCGGATACGGAATAGCAGTAGGCAATCCTGTGGGCATCCCGTTGGTAAGCAGAAGATCCACCATTAATTGCAACGACGTTTCCCAATTTATTGGCTCGCTTAAGAGCAAGATTCCCTCGATTTGCGGGAAATTTGGATCAATTGGACCACAAATCGGATTTCTTTTCTTCAGGTTTATGTAATCTAAGCATGGAAAGTTTTTCACTAGTTCCTCTATAGTTGTCGTCTTCTTGAAGCCCAGTTCTCGGGCTATATCCGTTATTGGACCTTGACCCGATATGAGAACTTGTTTATTATGAAGATTGTCAAACATTTGCAATGGTGAGTGAGCCAGGACAACTTGCGACTCCGTAACTTCGGCGCCTATCCACTTTGACAGCTCTGCTGCTTTCTGACTACGCAGTGAATTTCCGCTGTTAGTAACGAATAGCGTGGGAACGCGAAATTTTCCATTGTCCCCTTGAAGTCGTTTGAAAGACTCTTTTACCGGCGCCAGTATTTGTTTTCCACGTATTATGACACCGTCAATGTCGAAAAGCAAACCAAATTTTGGTTTTGTACTTAAATGCTGCGAACAGAAAAAACAAATCTATATTAATTAAGGCTAAACGTAGTACCATTTGAACGCTTGAAATTCTTTAAATAGAATACAAAAGATGCAGGATCTTGGCACAAGTACAAGTGCGAAAGTAACGTTAAAAATATATGTGATCAATATATTAATAAATTATAATTTCATGAACATCTAAATAAATTTCATACATATTGTTACACAAAGGAATGTAGTTTTACAAATTACAAAAAAAATACAATTTAATATAAATTGTATTAATGATATAATAAATTATACCTAGTAATTATGAATATTATAGTACTTTTCATAAAATAAGTGTACCAATAAAAGTAATCTATAAAAATTAATTAATAAAAAAAATGTAATTCAAATTAAAATCTTTTGATAAAATATCTCAAGAACTTTGAACGAGCAATTCATCAAGGCATTGATAAATTATTTATCAATGCTTAATGATAAGTAAGAAAAGATTAGCATTAAATGGGTCGATGAAAAGAAAGCAAATACGACCTCCAATGGAATATGTCACAGCGTTACACCTTCGTCAGAAAATATGCGTTGCATACATAAAACTAAAAATAATGCATCGCACAATGACAAAGTTATGAAAGAGTATTATGTAAAATACGAATAATATTAACGCACAGTGGTGCACGTACGCGTGATCGCGATCTTAGGTGCGCCGAGATGAAAAAGAAAAAGAAAGAAAAAGAGAGAGAGAAAAAATAAGAAATCGATGATCGCCATAAATGAAAAAATGGAAATCACACGGACAGATCGGTCGTGACAGCCGCGCTTGAAAAGGGAAAAGGCGAAAGTAGCGGGGAAACTCACTCTGACTCCGGCGAACCTCGTGACGTCCAGCCGCCGCAAGACGCTGGCGATCGTCATGTCTTCCCGTTTCTTTTAGTTAAGCAAACGGCGAGGCGACGACGTACGCGCGCGATCTCGTCGCGACGACCTCAAAACACTCGCGGGCCGCCCGTCGCGGCTCGATTATGCATAATGACGCGCCTTGAGGTTATGTTCACCTCACAGCACACACTTCGCACGTACTGTCCGCACGACGCACGTCCGGACGTCCGCACGTGCCGTAAGAGGACATAACGCGCGACAGATAGACGGGGAAGGGGAGTGTTTCTTTCTGTTTCAGCTGCACTTGCTTGCGCTTCTTGCGTTCAAGAGATAAGACTTTATTAATTTAAATCGGATCAATTTGAGCAATATTTGTACTATTATTAATTTTTTGTTGCTTAACAGGTGGACGAAAAGGCCTAGATTAAGGGCACGTGATACAGTTAGACACTTGTTTAAGCACGTCTGTCGGCTGAATTAATCGCCGATCAAGTTAATTGTAGTTTGATCAAAGTCCAAGCAGAGAGAAGCAGAGAAGCCTGATGAAAGAAGCCATCCCGGATCCCGGCCTTTTTTGTGGGACCGTCGAAGTCGAAAGTCGAAAGTCGAAAGCCCCTGTACATACACACTACCGCTAGTATATATTCGCTTTCGAAATTAGTACTACCAGAAGTACCAGAGAGAAACCTGAGAGGCCATCCCAGCCTTTTTCGTGTGTTGCTGTGTTGCATTTTCCGACGCGCCGCCTGAGAAAGTGCAACTCAACTACGTCGTATCGCTCGGTAACCGCACATGGTTTGCGTCCGTGCTAATGGTTCGTGTCCGAACTAGCCAGCTGGAGGGGATATTCTGGCCGCGGCGGCCGCGCTTCCATCTTGCGTATTCCAATTAATAACGAATTACGATAATTAAAATTACAAAATTAAGATTACATTCTTCAAAATTATTACGAATTTTGTATCTCATAATTTTGAAAAATATAATCGTAATTTTATAATTTTAATTTTTAGATAAATGTCAAATTTTGCAAGCAAGAAACTATTATTTGAGCGTTGATTCAAACCTTCACATTTATGTGAAATTTATAATAATTAACGATAATTTTTAAAATGTGAAATTCTATAGATAAAGAATAAACACCGTTATGATCTTAATCGTCTTCTGTTGATTTCGTATAATATATCCGGCATTAGTATCATACAATTTCAAATTTATTACACGTTTTCTTATAATTCCTTATAACAATAATTTTTTTATAAATAATGTTACATATGGAGGGGTAAAAGCCATAGTGGTGTAAGTCAAATTTTTTAAAATATATTTTTTTTTTACCTAACGCGTTATTTCTGCTTACCCGAATTTATTAGTTTATTTAGTTTTATTATTATTAATTTATTTTATCAATATTAATTAGTCGCAACCGCGATACCCGAAATTAAAGAAGTAAAGATTTTTAAAGAGAGTTTAAAAAATTTTAAGTTCGCGATTAATTGAGATTAAGCTGGAGACGTCACTTTCCCGTCTCCGATTACGCGTTCCCATATGTAAAAAATATTACCCTCCTTATATATGCATTATACACTAAACTGGTGGTGTTCAACATCAACCTACCTTGTGTAGATCTTCTCTCCTTTGACCAGTTTGACCATACCATTTCATGGCCAAATCCATTCTGGCAAAGCCAGAAACAAGAAGAAGAAATACACCTTCTGTTGCCGCCTAATCATAGACGGCAAATGAGCATAATGATTTTACGCTTTTTCCCACGATGCGCGAAACACGACCGCGTCGCAAAGGACCATTTGTAACAAAATTAAATTAAGTAATTTGAAAATTACTAGCTTTCAAAATCTACTTAATATCGTACAAACTATAATTTACGCAAGTGATCATTTTCTCGATTAAGAACAAAAAAGATTTTAATTAGTTAGGAGCTGTTAATTTGGAAAAAACCCATTTTAATCAACCGCGTATGTAATCCGAATAAATTCGACTACATTTTACGAATAATAGCAACTTTAATTTAAATCTGATATAAGCATGCAGGACATAAATAAAAATGCAAAATGTAAAATGAATAACAATATTGACTAACGCAAACTGAAAAAATCTAAGGCCCATTTTTTTTTCGATATCGTTTCGCATATATCGAGTCTCACCTCAAAAGGATGAAAAATAAGGAATTAATGACGTGAGATCCGAAAGAGATAATCAAGTTCCTGCACAATATGGAGCTAATGTGAACACTTTATGCACTCGAGCAAACAATTTGAATTTTGATAGTTACATCTTATTACGATTATTATACTACTACTTAAAAATCAAGTATTTATATTAACGCGAATTTAAGTAATCAAGTTGAAAATAATTGTTACAAAACATTATCTATTTTGCAAAACATCATTTATCAGATCTCACGTCATATCGCTTTAACTATAGTATAAAAACCAGTTATCAATACATATATGAATAGACCGTGAAAGCTTAGGCTAAAATTGGTGCGTTATAGGAACAAATAATTTTAAATAATGATCGTGAACACACACAATTTTGTTAAATGGCTTACGTAAAAAATATATTAAATAGATTGTATATACATAACAATAAATGATTAAAATAGTGCAAAGTACTTTTTATCTTCACTAGACACTACAGACGCGCGCTTTGCGCGCGCTATTTATAGCTTTAACATTATGCTATTACTATTACACTATTAACCCTTGATACACACAACTGTCAAAATATACAATGACAGCTGCAAATGAAGTAAGCGCAGCAAGAGAACCAATCGGCATCGCGGAAAAGTGACAACAATACCTATAATACGACATGCCCTTTTTAGAAGAAGAAGAAATCGTGATATATGCAAGCTAAAAGCATCTCTAAGCGTATTATATATTGCATTCTTGCACCAATTTATGTAACACTTAATCCTGAAAGATATTTGGGATGGAATTTACAATGACAAAATGTACGACAAATCAATTTATGTGATTTATCCAAGATTAAATGTTAAATCCTAATCTGACCCAGTCATACCATTTTAAGACAACGAATCTATGAAACGTAACATATGTAATAATTTATTGTGATAACTTGACACCGCAATATATTTGACGTAATTGTCATAAATTCATTACCTCAATTATGAAATTTTAATCATCACTCACCGACCGATGCGCAACAGTGGAGTTATTCTGCAACGTCGCTACGATGATTCTGTAACAAAGAAATGTAGAATAATCCGAATTAAAGCAGGGTGCAAGAAAGAGAGACAGTCAATATTTCAAAAAATGATTACTATATAAACACTAAATTTTATATTATTGTTTATTAAGCAAATTTAATGAAATAATTTTGTAATTTCTTAAGAATACTCTATCCATTGAACATAAGCTTCTATAGAATTTCTAAAATAAAACTATTTTTCTCTAACTTTTATTTTCTGAATAACTATCCGGTTAAAAAGTAAATGACCCATCAGTATAAGATATAATATGTGTATATGTATAAATAAATTATATTTACCGCTTGTTGCTCCGTCGGCGCCTGATGCCTCCTCCTAGGCCTCCACCTCCTCTCAGGTTGCTCGGGATGTCAGTTACTGTTTCCTCGATGCGAAGATACTCCTTCCTGCGTGGATATTTTCTGTAACATAAAAATAATCGAATCGACTAAATAATTGTCACGCACATCGAACATCTTATTCGTTATTACGATTAATGTTTTCCTAAATTACATCTTCGAAAAAAGTCTCTACGTTAGAATCAACTTGAATCAAATTTTTCGATTTATTTTTTTTTACTAATTTATATTCCAAAACATGGTTTAATGTAGCAACTAAATAAAAACAAACGAAAAAAGGATTCTATAATATCTTTAGAAAAAATAAAAAATAACACTTACCAGAAGTGTTAAGTACGCCGATGCCCGATGCCTCTCCTAGGCCTCCACCTCCTCTCAGGCTGCTCGAGATGTCCATCGTGTTCCCTCGATGCGAAGCTGATGGTCCTTCCAGCGTGGATATTTTCTGTAACATAAAAATAATCAAATCGATTAAATAATTGTCACGCGCATCGAACATCTTATTCATTATTCAGATTAATGTTTTCTTAAATTACATCTCCAAAAAAGATCTCTACGTTTCAATCAACTTGAATCAAATTTTTCAAATTATTCCTTTTTACTAATTTATATTTCGAAACACGGTATAATGTAGCAACTAAATAAGGATAAACGAAAAAAGAAATTCTATAATATTTTTAGAAAAAATAAAAAGTAACACTTACCAGAAGTGTTAAGTACGCCGATGCCCGATGCCTCTCCTAGGCCTCCACCTCCTCTCAGGCTGCTCGAGATGTTCATCGTGTTCCCTCGATGCGAAGCTGATGGTCCTTCCAGCGTGGATATTTTCTGTAACATAAAAATAATCGAATCGATTAAATAATTGTCACGCGCATCGAACATCTTATTCATTATTTAGATTAATGTTTTCTTAAATTACTTCTCCAAAAAAGATCTCTACGTTAGAATCAACTTGAATCAAATTTTTCAAATTATTCCTTTTTACTAATTTATATTTCGAAACACGGTATAATGTAACAACTAAATAAGGATAAACGAAAAAAGGAATTCTATAATATTTTTAGAAAAAATAAAAAGTAACACTTACCAGAAGTGTTGGTACGTTGATGCCCGATGCCTATCCTAGGCCTCCTCCTCCTCTCAGGCTGCTCGGAATGTCAGCTACGCAGCATTCCCTCGCTGCTCCGATGTCACGTTCAGCGTCGTTATTTTCTGAAATATTCAAATGAACGATTCGATTAAATAAAGACAGAAGAGATAGAAAATTTTTGGACATAAGTAACATAGTACGTAAAAATCAATTACACTCACCACTTTCTTTCAGGCTGCTCTGGCCGCAAAATCCACCTCCACCTTCGGGTCAAATAGGAGTCTCGAGCCACATTGAGACTCGTGGCAATGCAGTGTGACTTCATCCATTAAGCAAGAAAAATTAAGAAGCCATTTCGGCCATATTGCATTAATTTTACGACGTTGTTGCAAAATAGTCGAAATGTTTCTTGACCTTTCTCGCTTAATAGAAATGTAATTGCTAAAAGGAATTAAAAATTATTCTCTACCTTTTTTTTTTTTTTTTTTTAACGTGGTGGAAATCTTCGAAAGACTCCCCTGCCCTGAGGAAGGGAGGGAGAGTGTCGGATTCTACGCGCACGCGTACCACCGTTACGAGGGGCGCTTCAGAAGACCGAAATCCCCTGAGCCTCCCTCAGCGTGGCATCGCGCGCCCATAGCCTACCGACTAAAACCACCACGAGCGACACTGATCTAACTTTCTAAGGGTGGTGGGTGTCGATCCGCAGACACACGCGCCGCGCGACTCTACGCCCTATAATCCACCCGTAATCTCGCAGTGTTGGGTGGGTGTCGATCCGCAGACACACGCGCCGCGCGGCTCTACGCCCTATAATCCACCCGCAA